TCATGGAATTGGCTCACGTGAATCACTATCTTCATCAGCTGATGCACGTCGACAGTACAACGTCAGCTCTAACATATTGACAGACCTCACCTAGATGAACATTACCAAGTCAGCTGTAGTCAACTGCATTGTTCCAACAGATATAACGAAGCCACCAGCTGTGATCAGCAGAGTGTGTTTCAAATGAAGGACATCTCCTGCTTGCCTAGATCTATATATTTAGTTTCCGAAATACGAATGCTAATATTACTAGGATTAAGGTTTTTAAATGCGTTTCCCTCCTTGTAAGAACCACATTCGCTCTGTATCGCTGGGACCTTACACATGCCAGTAGTCTGTCTCATACTTCAAACTTTCGGCCCAACCCCTTCTGTAATGCAATAGTCCAAAATGAAGCCAGTCTAGTTCTGAATCTCCAAACTCACTGGGGCTAATTCAGTATATACGGAGTTATGTATTGCTATCAAAATTTCCTATTTTCAGAGGCTTCCGCTTGGTATAACGTGCCAGGATCCTGTAATTATGGACCCAAACATGCTCCGGATATGCTTATTGTTTTTTCAAGACCATATCTATGTTTCTGAATTTCTCCCACATTAAACAACTGTTGTTAGATCCACTAACAACTGTTGTTAAACTTGCACGCTGTGTAGCCTTTTTATGGCAATGGGTTTTGTGCGTGCGTTTGTTTATTATTTTCTTTGTTGCATTTGTATGGGCTGGGGCTATTCAAGATGAAATCCACCTAAGCAGGATTAATTGATTTTGTGTGTGTGTGTGTGTGTGTGTGTGTGTGTGTGTGCGTGCGTGCGTGCGTGCGCGCGCGCGCGTGTGTGTGTCCTGATTGGTGAAATGCCACACAACTACATCGTAATCACTATATTTATTCATGGGTAAACTTTCATAATGTTTGCACTGTAAACTGATCAACATGTAGATGCTTGATGGGCATTTAGAAGTTGGAAGCTAACATAACAACGTATGGTATGGATTTACAACTTCTTTATTATTTACAACACAACGTTTCTAGGCTGCTTCTTAGTAGTCCAGAAACGTCGTGTATTTATGATATTGAATATCTGCTTGATATTTTATGGAATATGGAAAGGTTAATCCAAGTACATTGTATGTACGATTGCTTGTGCGATCTCTTAATCAGGATGATTATTTTCTTCAATTATCCATGGGGTAGTGGAGATAGAGGAAAGATGGGAGGTATATGTTCAAGGCGTTAATGCGTTGATACGTCCAGACATCCAGATAACCTGCAGCGTTGCTTGAAATACTAAATCAATACATTTGAAAACAAGCTTACCTAAAAGAACTTTGAAAAGTAAAACAACACTGTGTGAAAGAACTTGTGAGCAATGCAGTTTTAAGCAGGTTCCGATCACAAGTATTTTTACAGATGATTTGTTTTGATTGAATGCATGAATCATGAATCAAGAACTGCGCTGTATAATACATGGATGCGAAACATGTTGCAAACTGTAATGTTGTTGTCAGTGAACTCCCAATAAACCAGGAGAGAGTAATAACATATTGCATAGCCTAAACAACTATCAAACCTCAATGTGAATAACACAATATGAACCCAGATTTTCTGTGACCATTTTGTTTTAGTACTGGTAACATGAGCATATAAAAGTGTTCAAATACATACCCTTGATATCCGGAATGATGCACAAAGTTTTAAGCCATGAAAACATTTGAAAACTTGCAAATTTACAAATGTTTCCCCACCTAAGGAAATATTCATATTTCGAACCCAAGTAAACTTAGAAAAGAGTCGGAAATTACATCACCTATTACAATCAACAGGAATGTATTGGGAATACTGTGTATTTCAGAGGTATATGACGGGTGTGTATATTTGGTGGTAAGATACCATAACGCCTTTCTGATCAGTGTGTCATATCTTTGCCGGTGTAAAATAAATAAAAGAAAACCAAAGTCGTAATATTTCACATGTGTGGAAACATAATGACTTGTAAAAATGGAACACCATAATGTCATATATAAACTTGTAAACCTTTCATTCAAAGGTATGTCATATTATTATTCATCAACTTAAATTTGTAAAATTGATAAAGTTGCAAAGTGGACCTTCTTCAACTTCATAACTGTGCATTTCACAGCATGTCATTGCAGCTGGAGCGTGAAGTGACACATATATAGAACAATATTGACATCGTTCTTATCAAAACATATCTCCTTCTGACATCAGTTGAATTGTTGTGTTTCATGCATGCAGTGCCAACCAAAGGTATATATGATCTTCAAATGATATAGCTGAATTAGAAAAACATAATTTTGGAAACAATTACCTTTGATTTGTAAAGTTCAACTCACATTTTCTCATCAAATGCCCTTTCTATTAAAACTGACCTTTGACCTTACCAAAATATTTTTGCGATGAGCAAATATGTTATATTATTGTCCACAATTTTAAATCATGATCTGAGCATTCCAAAACTACTATTTTGATGAAAACGGTTACTCCAAACCAAAGTTATTAAATTAAACCACCCAGTAATCGGTTAAAATATTGCCATAACTGACATGACATGTTGCACCTTAAAAGGGCCTCTGTATGGTAGTCACGCACGGTAGCTGATGACAACCGGCTTTAAATCAAAGCTAAATCATTCCTGATTATGAAAAATCACATCCCGTTTGGTCGCCAGAACTGCACCACATTTTCACCATTTGGGGGGTCTGGCTTCTAGACCATACAGGCAATATCCATAAACCACCAATAGCGCAGACAGCCCGGCATTATATATATACAGGGGACACGTCCGTGAACCAGTATCGTTGACGGGAACCGCGTGAAGTGCAAATGGTATACCCTTGTAATCATTGACACCCATATAGCAAGCAAGCAACGGAGTGAATGAGTGAGTTTAGTTTTACGCCGCCGGCTGTAAATAACCGAGCCTGGACCAGACAATTTAATTATCAACATCATGAGCATCTATCTACGCAACTGGGGAAAGGTGACATGTGTCAATCAAAGTCAGCGAGCCTGCCCACCCGATCCCGTTAGTGTGGTCTCTTACGGGCAGCATGGATTACTGAAGATCAATTCTAACCCGGATCTTCACGGGTGAACTGAAAGAGACGTTTATGTGCTCAGATTCACCGACAGTAAGTCATCAATGGGTGGCATCATTTTTAAAACAACAATTTCTTAAACGAACTACCTCACTCAGCTGGCCAACTTGAGCGTTGGATCACACTGACACTGCAAAACAACCGACTTGGTCAACAGCTTTGGAGAACGTGTTGGTATGTTAGCCGATCCTGTATATGTCTTGTTGATTATATGTCGATAAGATCCTGAAGTAGATTTTCGGCAGTGATCTGTTTGAATGGCTTTTAGAAGTTGGTGAGTAATAAGAAAGTAAGATACTTTATGGATGACTTCTATATTATATATGATGCGACGTTTCGGTATAGATTCTTATACTGTTGCTTGACAAACGTGCCATCATATATAATAGCGAGTGTGTGTGTTTAGTTTTACGCCGCACTCTGCAATATTCCAGCTATACGGCGGCGGTCTGTAAATAATCGAGTCTGAACCAGACAATCCAGTGATCAACAGCATGAGCATCGACCTACGCAATTGGGATACGATGACATGCGTCAACCAAGTCAGCGAGCCTGACCACCCGATCCTGTTAGTCGCCTCTTACGACAAGCATGGGTTACTGAAGGTCAAATCTAACCCGGACCTTCACGGGTTCATATATAATAAAGAAGTTGCCATCCATATAGTATCTTACTTTCTTATCAACTGCAGAGGTGTTAACCAGATTAAGGTGGATTGTATGTAATTCACGCACGGTTGGATTACTACACCTTCAAATGAATGTTAAAAGATCAACTTCTCTAGAATCATACACATTGGTTTGTCCGTACCAGCTTCCAAAGACCATAACATTTCATTGTGATTGGGGGCGGTGGGGTAGCCTAGTAGATAAGGCGTACGCTCGTCACGCCGAAGACTCGGGTTCGATACCAAAAATGAGCAAAATGTGTGAAGCCCATTTCTGGTTCTTTCCATTTCTGGATCCGCCTATGGGTATGGCGATGAAAGCGTAACGGTGTGGGTGGGGGTATCCAATGCTGGTAGAATAAACCGGAAGGAAATGTGTCACAATAACCTGGTTATGCGTCTCCTTGGGTATGTTAAATTGTTAATTAAAGTCTCTCACATCATACAGTTCTCATGAATGAAAAACATACGGTTGAAAAGTGATGCCCAACTTATGTACCCCTTAAAAACAGTCTCGTTTAGTTATATGGTCCTTTTACGATGCTTATCTACATAAGATTTCGCAAACCTGGCGTTAAAAGAACACTGGGCGAAATTTCGACATTCAAAAAAAGAAATAAAATCACACGCAACATGTAAAACTCTCAAAAGTAATTATCCACATTATAATATCACAGGCTTTATCATTTTGTGCATTCGGAACTGCCCAGATATGTTCGTTTAGAGAGGCAGAGATTGGACATGTTGCCCTGATTTCCTCGTTTGTCCATACACAAATATGAAAAGGTTTCGACCCTGATTGGTTGACAAGAAAATTCACCTGATGCGATCTCTCAAGGATGGATTGTCAGATGATCATGCATAGAGATATCGTAAGTGATATTTTTATATGCACATTGTTTTCTGTTCCGTCAGCTTATGCCGTTAGTACATAAAATGTTTGAGATAAATATCGTACAGCTGTTCAATAAGGAGTTGTAAGCTGTTTGTTATGAAATATCTCGTCAACATGGCTTTTAAACACATACCTCAACTATATCATGATGGAGATTATAAATGCTAACTATGTTTAATTACAAAGGATCCCAATAACTGGATAATTAAGTTATTCCAGGTGATGTCAAGTTCCGTTTTTGTGTGATCCGTTTTCGACGCATGCCTAGTCCGTTTCAGCTAGTCTCATTCCGGGTTATTGTAAAACCCGATCTAAGGTCAAGGTCGCAATTATGGCTTCCTGAATGTCGAGAAAATGTTAATCACCTTTACAATTTGTTGCATTTTTGTGTGATTGTTCAAGAATACCATTTAAATTAGGACACCAAAAAGGCATACTGGTGTGGCACATGTGTTCTTGAAATATCTGCTATGTGATTTAACGCGCTGGACCATTTGTGTATTGTTGAATGTTTCTGATGGTTTGGGGTTCATATTCCTGTCCAGATTTGGCAGATCGCCTTGGGCCAAATATTGTTTGAGTGATATTCTGTGTAAAGATCTCGACAATGATGTTCTGTTGGAACTGTAGATGTGGCGCAAATATCCTCGTGAGGACAATCCACACGGCACTTTGCGTTGGAGTGCCAGTCACGCTCCTGGTCAAAGATACAAGTTAGTATGGCAAAATGACGTTTTATAACTGTAGAAAGTACAATATCATACCGTGCCAAGATATATTTTGCTGGCATGTTTCTGTATTTTTTAAGAATTAGTATTTATTGCTCATCTTTTAGCCACATCCTTTCTGATAACAAACAACATGAGAAAGTGTATTTTTCCCCATGTTAATATTGCCTTAACATAGAGATATTTTCTGGGTTACATCTTCTTTTTATTCTCGAGTACAACGTTTCAGGGCTTGTTCTGGCCCCATCATCAGGTAAAACTGAACAGTAACTGTTAACATCAGCCACCAAGTCAGCAGACTCCTAAAGAAAATGGCCAGCATTGACACCACTTTCTCGTCTGGCAAAACCCTTAAAACTTTGCTACGTGCAAATGGTAAGGGGTGCAATCACGCTATATCCAACCCATGCGCACAGCGAGTTGAAAAGTTATGTGAAACCAATGAATAGTCTACACCTTAAGGGACTAGTCTGTCATACAGACCCAGAAAAAAATATATCCAAAAAAGCTGATACAAGTCCAGAATCTGTGACAAGTCTAGAAAATAAAAAAACGTCTCAGGGCTCCTTTTCATTATATATATATATATTATTATGAACTTTTTTCTGTAAAATATGTTCATTTCAGAGACTAGTTGTTAGTCTACTTTACGGACCGACTCGTGACGATCCAGGTTAGAATTGGTCTTCAGCAACCCATGCTTGTCGTAAGAGGCAACTAACGAGATCAGGTGGTCAGGCTCGATGACTTGGTTGACATGTGTCATCGTATCCCAATTGCGTAGATTGATGCTCATGCTGTTGATCACTGGATTGTCAGACTGCTGAGAGGGGCGGTGGAGTAGCCTAGTGATTAAAGTGTTCGCTCGACACTCTTAACGCTAGTCTTTGGGTGCACTTTCCATGTTGTTTTTGCATGACTATTTAAATATACTACTACCACTTCAACAGTGAGAGGACCCTTTCCATTATTTCCTTCAGTGTCCTCTTTATGATAGATTTAGATTTAATAAATACTTCTTTCAAAATAATATAAGTTTACATGCTATTCTAAGCGGCGATGAATCTTTGTCCCAGTATGAAAATTAATTGATAATAAAATCGGTTAATAATTTCTTAAATGACACCAGCTGTTTTCCATAAAGTGTGGTACCATATGGTGTACTTAGTTTGAAATTATTGAATTTTTTATTTCCACAAATGTATTTATAAACTCTTTCTTTATAATATTATGTTTAGGAGAAGTATTTACATAGGCTGATGCAACCTGTTTTCTGATACTTTTTGCTTTTGTAATTTATTAAAGTTTAATGTATATTACATGTCTTCCGGGAAATAAAATACTGTTTAAATCATAGCTTTCCACATCATGTGACAGTAGGGCATGAATGACAGCATGTGGGGGTGAAATATAGGAATGAAAATCTAGATATGCAGATTCCTGTAAAATGATACAGATGAAAAATACATGACATGACTTTGAAAATGTGACAGGTCCTATGCTCAACGATGATGATGATGCTTGATAACGATGTTAGTAGCTACACCAAAACGTCACTCATATTATATTAAAGAAGTTGTATATCAATAGAACTCTCCTTGTTGTTCATCACACCAACTTCTAAATGCCACTCAAACAAGATCCTATGCTTGCAGCAAGGAACTCCGGGTAGCAGAATGATTGGCTCTATCAGTGTACAGGTTAATCCTTTTAGTACATGTTATACTCACCGCCTCCGTGGTGTAGTGGTTAGAGCGTCCGCCCGGAGAGCGGAAGGTTGCTGGTTCGATCCCCGACCGCGTCATACCAAAAGACGTTAAAATATGGTACTTGTTGGTCCCTGCCTGGCGCTCGGCATTAATGGGTACAACAAGGACTGGTCGGCTCGGAGTCAGTATAATGTGTCTGAGTGGCGTATTCATGCTTCACTGCGGCATGGTATCTCAGTGGGCTAGCACTATAAAACCAGCTTCAGTCTGGGCTAGTACAAGCAGCCGCACCTACACATACACACGCATGCATGTCGTCATATGAGCGAAATATTCTCAAGAACGACGTTAAACCCAATTTCACCTCACCTCACATGTTATTCTCAATGGGATATTATTGTATGGTATATAAGTTCCAAGTTTTTTTTCCAAGTCTTACTTTTAATAAAATCTGGTCACAGGCCTGATACTTAAGGCTCAAGATATTTGTACTGATATAGTGTAAAGTGTAATGTCATTGTAACTTTGTACGTCGGGTGAACTACAGAGCCTCAAACATTTCATTTCAGTTTTGAGTCGGGCGGTGATACAGACACAGGACTTACTGTATGGTATTGCTTATCTCCTCTTGATGTCACTCTCCATCATCTTCTATTACCTTGCCTGCTTCATCGACCCAGGATATCTGCCGCTCAAAAAGAAGGTACTCCATTATTAGTAGTGTAGCAGCATGGCAATGCAGCATCATATCCCCAAACGAGACCCATGATATGTTAGACTGCCGCCATTTAGCTGGAATATTGGTATTTGACCAGATGGTGGCCACATGAATACGTGCAAACACCTAGTTGCGGGTACAGCAACGTGCAGTGAACATGGACAAAGTACTGTGACTATGTGTCCCAGTCCACCCAGCTGTGAATGGGTACCTCGATCGTTAGGATGAGAAAGCCACAATAACTCGGTGCGCCTAGTGGCTGCAAGAGTTGTATACTCCCCAGGGGGTTGAGATTGATAATGCGATGTGCCGTTGAGATTGACATCCAATGATCGAGGGAAAAAATACCAGCGCCTTGAGCATGCACTAGTGCGTGGATATGTGCGCTATATAAATATCCAATAATAATAAAATAATAATATTGATGACTCACTCATGATACAGTACACTGATTTAGTAGTCCTGTATTATGATACAAAGGATGCATTAGGTCATAAATTATATTGATGATCTGGGTCAGAAATTGTCTTCGTCACCCTATGCTTGTGGTAAGAGGCATCTAACAGGTTTGGGTGGTCAGACTTGCTAACTTGGTTGATGCATGTCAACTGTTGACAGACTGATGTAATATCCCTGAAATATTGTTGAGTATGGCGTTAAATAACAAACAAACAAATTAATTTGGCGTGAAATACATGAATACTAACAAACAGAAACCTTTGATTTAAACATATTTATTTCCAAAGAAAGGAACCGGATTGGAAAACAAGCATAAGCTTATATGAATACCGCTCCGGGATACAATGGAAGGAAGAGTAAACATGTCATGATGAATGTACAATGTGAATGATTATATAAATATTGCAAAAGCGAGAAATGACGCCAATCATTGTTAAACAGTATATGTCATATGAAGAAATTATTTTGGATCAAAACAGAAACCTTTCAACCTTATGTATATTAGTGTTGGGAATTGGTTAAAATCTCATAATTGATGATTGGTTCATTACCACCGATCAATCATCGAAAATAATTGGTTTGCATCATTGATGAAATTTGTTAATGCACCAAAAATAAGGAAAACAATGTAGTTATTTTTGTTTGTTTTTGGGTAACATTTCACATCTTTAAAGGATGACTAGTATGTTAGGAAAATACATTTCCTGGAGTCTTTAAGATAAATTCAATCATGACTTGGAACGAGCTTGTAGTGCTTATGAAATGTAACAGACAAAACCAACCATGTGAAAAATATTGTTGATGAAAACAAGTGTTCCACAATTGTTTGTGTTCGATTATGAGAAAACATGATCGATTGAGTGGTTGTTTAGTCACTGCGACCAATCTTCGATTATATCAATTAATCGGATCACCACTAATGCATATTGTTAGGTATTTACCTTGCTCTTTTGCCTGTATGTTTTTTGCTCTGTAATATCCCATCTAGCCTCTGAAACTTAAAACCCCTGGGTTGTAATTCACTTGTGAAAAGAAGGAGTATCACTATCAACTTCTGAAACAGAAGTACTGTATCGGGATACCTATAGGGCAACCCATGCTTGTCATAAGAGGCGACTAAAGAGATCGGGTGTTCAGGCTCGCTGACTTGGTTGACATGTCGTTGTATCCCAGTTGCGTAGATTGATGCTCGTGCTGTTGATCACTGGATTATTTGGTCCTGACTGGATTATTTACAGACTGCTGACATATAGCTGGAATGTTGCTGAGTGCAGCGTTAAAGAACAAACTAATTGTTATGAGAATCTCTTATATATCTATCTAGTATAAATCTGTATGTATGTTTATAAATCTGAACTGATTTTCAAATATATTTATATTCTCTTAAATACCTATTCACCCTAACTCAGACACTCTGCTTACCACTGACCACTTGTCATTGTCTATGCTTCAGCTGGGGTGGTCAGACAACAAAGGGGGTTATATAATTATAGCTTGGGCTTTTGACTTCTCCAAGCAAGGTTAAAACACAGAGTGCTCAGTGCCCAGGTCGTGAGTGAAATGAAATGAAAGGATTAGCCATGTTGGCAAGTTTGAACTGAATATGCCATGTTGGTATTGAGTGAATTTCATATGATGGATTAAGTGTTATTATTCTGAGGAGTAAGTTGGAACAGGAACAGTTGTTTAACAAAGTAAGACTTGATTTAAACATAGTTTTTTTTCATGAAGATAAAATGGGGTTGGTGAACAAGCATTACTGCTTATGTTAACACTGCTCCCATGCAATGTATAATACAACATGAAATGGAGGATTTGACGTCATCGATACTGACCATTGCATAAATATAATATTTTTAAATATATATAAATATATACAGATAACATGAAATACAACTATTCTCTAAGTAGTCATAAGTTAGAGAGTTACAGTTGTGTGTGTCTAACAAGCCATTGTAGAAATATAAATCAATCATGAGAAGGTTGTTGAGTAAATTTAATTATTTTCCTGAGAAAATTTGAATACTTGCTTTTCATATTGGTACATATATATAGATTGCCATTATTAAAACTATTTTACATTGTTGTGTGGTCTGGAGTGGAGTTGAGTCTACTAATGCCTACAGGGAATAACGCCTTCAGTCTTAAATAAACAATTTTACGCACCAGTGGTTACAAATTGTACTGCCTCTACCCTTTCACTAAAGTGGTAGGTCCCACTTTATTGTGTACTAATGACTACAGGGAATACCAAACACAGATTTTTAAATGACATTTTATATGTGTGGATACGTTTTCCGTGGATCTACTCATAACACAACCAACATGTCATTGCAACCCTCATGTATTGTTACAATAACTTACATCCCTAATCCTGTTGCTGTCTGCACACTTTTATATAAACCCTGCAGGAATTCTAGGTTAGATCTGGTCCCGGAAGAGACATGGGCAGACTTGGTTATTTGGTTGATTGTGTGTCACCGTGGTACTTGTAAGAGTTCCGCCCGTAAACCCCGCTTGAAATGTATTCTATTTATTTGGATTATTTCGAGGTTTTAGGGTTACGTTTAGGGTTTGGTTGGTAAGACTTCCGCCCGTATCCCCACTAGATTATAACGATAAAGAAAAATTACTTTGAGTGGCATTTTTAGAAGTTGAATATGTCTCTCAGTATGTTTAGATACAATTAAAGAAACATGTTAAAACTCATCCTTATCAGATGAGGAATATATATTCAGGTGATATGATTTGACTAGAATGAAATTTAACGGGGGATACGGGCGGAAGTCTTTCCGGGAACACTAGAAATAGGCTTCACACATTGTACCCATGTGGGGAATCGAACCCAGGTCTTCTGCGTGACGAGCGAGCACTTTAACCGCTACCCCACCGCCCCTGCACAACTAGAACATTGCCTCGATATAGCAACAAACAAGCCTTTAAAACACTCTCGGCAGCACTAGATTTCTTTCCAGATCAGAATGGTACCCCAGTATTTGTAAAAGAGATGACAGAATGAGGATTAATTAGTATTGACAGGATCATCATCTATCTCGATTCAGTGGGATAATCAGATAAACAAGACTATTCAAGAAAGTATTGCCTTTCTATCTCAACCATAAATTAGACATTTAACAAATGTTAAAGGATTTTCTTTTGTGCACTTATCAAACTCTGAATTGAGTACTTCATCAAAACAGTTTTAACAGATAGTCATGATGGATGTAGCGAGTTTGAGACTATAGTACTGTCGGAAATAGAAAAAACCCTGTATTTTCTCATTTATCTCTACAATTTATGTAGTTGATATGTGAAAGTGTGAAATATCTGTTCAACTAAGTTCGGCCTAACTACAGTCTCAGTGGTAGAGAGATAGGAAACGGAGAAAAGGGACTTTACTGAAGGGAAATTAGTGCAGAAATGAGCAATGCGGGTTTTTTCTAAGTCCAAAAAGGCTTATTTGGAACAGACCATGGCTTTATGCAAATTAGTGTGCGATGATATTGCATTACAAAGGACACTTTTTAAATGCCCAATTTGAAATTAGACGTAGATTCATTATAAACGATAGCTGACATAAAAAATAATAACTTTTATGCTGAAACTATTAAGGATGTAGCTACCATGCAGTCTCACTGTCACTATAAAAGGAAACAGATAGGAGGGGTCGCCTCAAAAGCAAAACCTGGGGTCGGGCTTGGGGATAGAGATATCAGCTAAGATAAGATAATCCTTTAGGGCAATTATACTGGGGAGGTACACGGCACGTCATAACAATTTCCAAATAATATCCAGTCCTGTCAAATTTCGGGTGGTCATGCCACCTATATACTACGATGCGTTTCTATGGTTTTCGGTATCATACTCTTTTACATATCTCAACATAAACTTTATGAAAGAAAGACACTAAAGATGTTAATCAATAGATGAGACATAGTCAACACACATGAAAAGCACAAAATATCTTTGAGATGACCCCTTTGTGCCTGTCGGCAGCATCGCGGAATTTCATGCCAGGTGAGTGGACGGTCCGTCGTCATACCTGGCTGAGCGACCTAATTGTCATCTATAGTCTGATCTATTGTTTTCAGCAGCTATTTGTATTTTTTCTCAGTTTTGCCTGATTTTACGAGTAAACATGCTTTTCTGGATATCGTATTACGCATCCCACTGAACACTCAGTTAGGCCGAAGTGGGTTATTTCGACATATGCTATTTGCAATTGTGTCAATTTTAGGGATACAGAGTAACAGCCTAAAAACAGTTTTTTTCTATTTCCGACAGTACTATAGTGCTGTTACCTTCAAGAAAGCTACTTTCTCATTGGTTAGTGTCAACTTCCTGTTAGTCACTTCATTGGTCGGTCAGTCTGCAGAATGTCATTCTGACCTGACCTGTAATGGGTTGTCTTCAGATCTTTGTGCAGCAGTAGCAAGTAGTTATAAATGCAAGAATTGTTTTGTTTTCAGAAAGCATCAGTCAATAACAATTCTGAAGATGAAGGCTCTGATGAAGACAGCAGCATGCTGAAGAATGGAGATAAAGATGTCAAATACCGCATGTGTGACTACTGTGAAATACAGGTGAGCTAAGTGGAATAGGTGTGAATGCTGTGAAATACAGGTGAGCTAAGTGGAACAGGTGTGAATGCTGTGAAATACAGGTAGGCTAAGTGGAACAGGTGACAACTGGGAAATACAGGTGAGCTAAGTGGAACAGGTGTGAATGCTGTGAAATACAGGTGAGCTAAGTGGAACAGGTGTGAATGCTGTGAAATAGAGGTGAGCTAAGTGGAACAGGTTTGAATGCTGTGAAATACAGGTGAGCTACATAGAAGGTCAAATGATACGTCAATGTGTTTATTTAGTTTTATGATCACCTTGTACCAAAATGTTTCAGTTAATATATTTATGATGATGGTGATGAAAGGGGAGAGAACTCTAATTGCCAGAAAAAACTTGTAGTATAGGGCCTGTAAGTCCCGCTATGTGCTACTTCTGGTACTAAGCTGGCTCCCAGCTCCCTTTGCACATGCCAACTTGCGATATGAGAGACGGGGACCAGCTTAACACCAGTACCAGAATTCCGATGACATGCGTTTATTCAAAAACCAGTTCTGGTTTCAAATTGCGACCGCTAAATATGACTTTACTGGACTGGACCAAGTGTACAACCATCCTTGGCTGTCACAGCTGTTGACAGTCGTAATACCAATAGTTGGTTAATTGGGGGATGGTTAGATCGGAAATTTGTTATTCCTGCAAAGGATTATCGGTTCCTTACTGTCAACTGACAACCATGAGACCATTCAAAAAGGTAATGGAACGTTTGTCACCAGAACTACTAAGGTCTCGCATGCCGTGACCTACTTACGGGCCCTATTTTGTGATGAAAGTGTATTATTGTGGTAATGTGTGAAAGTAATGAGAAAGATGTGTCAGTGAAATGCTGACAAATAATGACATTAACTGTAAGTAGTGAGTTCTATTGTCTGTCCAAAGGTAAAAACATGCAGTAATTGGTTTGTCTTTAAAATCTTAAAAACAGAAATCTACACAGAAATTAATTCCATTTGGTATTTATTGACTAACCATTGCAAATGTGAAAGTGATTATTATCACCCCAGCATGTAATGCGGGGGGATTTAGTCAATGCCTCGGCTTGTCTGTCCGTCCATCTGTCTGTCTGTCCGTCTGTAATTATTTTGTCTCTGGAGCATAACTAAAAAACCCGTTCAATAGTTTTCAACGAAACTTGGTAGATATGTCAAACAGAACCTAAAGTGGTGCCTTTTGCTGTTTACAGATATTTGTCATATTTATTTTTCTTGGTTTCCATGGTTTCGGACTTGGGTGGGCATAATTTCCGGAGCACAACTCGAAAACCGTTCAGTATCTTTCTACAAGGCTTGGCAGATATATCAAACAGATCATGAAGTGGTGCCTTTTGCTATTTGCAGATTTTTGTCATTTTTTTTCATGGTTTCCACGGAAAATTTTGGACTTAGCCACTAGTTTTGGACTTAGTGGCTGCCATCTGTATCCATGACAAGATGGCAGCCACTTACCATTCGGACCCACACATCGTAACCTTTACTGTAATATAAAGAAAATAAGGATGTACAATTGGTGTCAATCACTGTCAATGATTTTACCTTTGAATATACTCCAGTTGTAAAGAAAATACTCACTGTAGACATTTAATGTGAGTAAGCAATGAAATAGTGGCTGCAAGAGTTGTATACTCCCAGTTGTTGATTGATAATGCGATGTGCTGTTGAGATTGACATCCAATGATCGAGGGAAAAATACCAGTGAGCTCTAGTGCGTGGATATGTGCGCTATATAAATATCCTATGATGATGATATACTTGCAGCAACCAATGAGAGCCAAGCACTGTGAGGACTGCAAGCGGTGTGTGAGGAAGTATGATCACCACTGTCCGTGGCTGGAGGCATGTGTCGGGGAGCGCAACCACAAGTTCTTCCTGTTGTTTCTCCTGGCCACGGCCATGTTGGTGTTGTGGACGTTCTACATTGCCTGGTGAGCATGTCATGTGAAATATTTGACTTAAACTCAACCCGTGAAGATCCGGGTTTGATCTTCAGTAACCCATGCTTGTTGAAAGAGGCGATTAATGGGATCGGGTGGTCAGGCCAGCTGATTTGGTTGACACATGTCATCATATCCCAGTTTGTGTAGATCGATGCTCATGATGTTGATCACTGGATGTTCTGGTTCCGACTTGATTATTTACAGATCAATGCCATATAGCTGGAATATTGCTGAGTGCAGCTTAAAACTAAACTCACTCACTGGACCTATACCATCTATGCAGACCTATCAACCATAACAATTTTGGCAGAATCTATTTTAAACTAAATTATATTGATATGATTTTGTAGAACCCAAGGTTTATCATTGACCAACATGTACCATTGTCGCAAATTACCACTTAGTCATTACTTTGTTTTAGTTTTTGTTATGAGATTTACAGATTTGGGTGACACAACAGCAAATAATTCTGTATTTATATCAAACCCCAATGTCAACCATTATTCCTTCAAATAACCTATCGGGGTAGATTAGTGGTTAAAGCGTTCACTTGTCACGCTGAAGACCCGGGTTCAATTTCAACATGGGTACAATGTGTGGAGCCCATTTCTGGTGTCCCCCACGATGGTATTGCTGGAATATTGCTAGAAGCAACAGAAAACCATACTCACTCACTCAGGTCGATATTCTGCCTGGAAAGGTTTGATCTCGGCTTACCTTGAAGGGGATAAACATGGTCCACTTGGGTCTATATGTACTGGGGAGCAGTGTCTAAATGAGTTTTGTTGTCTGGAAAGCATATTTAACCTCACCTGATAATGATTGAACAGATGCTTTGTGTTGCATTGATTACAATGGTACTAGTGTTTTTAGCATTAGGTGATTAGTTTAACAAGGTTTGTCTCACGAAAAGCACTCACTATATGTTATGTATATATATGTGTGTGTGTGTGTGTGTGTGTGTGTGTGTGTGTGTGTGTGTGTGTGTGTGTGTGTGTGTGTGTGTGTGTGTGTGTGTGTGTGTGTGTGTGTGTGTGTGTGTGTGCACTCACTATATTGTTACCTTTGTATATATATATGGTTACATCGAAGATGAATTTCTCCACTAACTTGGGGAACCAACTGCAAACTTTATGCAGATTAATTGTAACGAGGATCATGCATCAAATTGCCAAAAAGCATGTGCAAATATCGCTCATGTAAACAGCCATGCTTTTGCTGTAATGTTTTGTTAAGAATTTGCCACTTTACTGATTTTCATCATTTACTGAACTCATGACAATAATCTTTCAACGCTACTTAATTAGTTTTACAATACATTAGTTCATGTGTAAACAGTACCTATAAACTGAATGGAATATTTTGCAAAATCTAGTTTAGAACAGAAGTGGCTACGCTTACACTAGTGATTCTTAAACTTGTTCTATGTTTTAGAATCAAATTTAACCCAGATTTTCACAGATCAGACCCAAGTGAATAATTAAATATACAAAGGACCAACTCCGTGTTATTGAATAACTCGCGTGCCCCACTGGAAGGATTTCATATTGGCATGAACATCAGAACTACTTGAAACAAGAACGATAACTCTATCCCTGTTTGATTCCAATGTTTCTAAAAATCACAGAAGCACATATACATTGTATTGTTGTTGTTTTGGGGTTTTATTTACTTATTTATTTTAAAGAATTAAACCTCTTTGATACAACTAAAACGGAGAAAAATATATTTGTTAAACACTTATTCTAATGTAATTATTACCAGCTGTTCACTTTATATTTCCAATTATGTTAATTTTGCTGAAAAAGGGTTTAATCATCACAAATTGGAATTGTTTTTATTGAATATACAAAAACAAAATTTCAGCACATTAAATCCCAAAGCAGATTCTCAAAAAATGACTTTAACATATTTCTCAAACTGATGATTCGTGTAACCTTGCTGTCACACCCCAGGTGGAATTTCAAATGAAATCACTGAAAAAATATGAATGACCCATAACAGACTAAAAATATCCCCAGAGCTATTAAATATAAGCCCAATGTTAAAGATTAAGGTTGATTAGTTACATACAAATACTGATATTATTGTTTTGAAACTCAGAGCGCATTATAATTACATTTCCAAAAATTGGTTGAAGCATGTACAATCTCCATAACAAGCCCCGCAAGATGGGTCAGAAATACACTCAGTTGGACCCATGACAGCAGTTATGACAACAAATGCGCGGCGTATATTTGAACCTCTAAGCATCGCATGATTCTTATTAAAAACTTCATGATAGGCAGCAAAATCCTTTTAGCTACGCTCTTTGTACTTTTCAATATGGACGATATATATTTTTCATGATTCTTTAAACAATGACATAATGCCATAAACAATTTAAGTACTCGGGATTATTTTTATCAAAGCACCGCCTCATTTCTGGCCGCTCTGATTGGTTTGTCGTATTTTTTCGCAAGCAACAAGTATGTAGGGATCCAGTCTAACCTTGGAGTTTACGGATCAGACCCAAGTAGTGATTAAATGAGGTGTCCTAGTCAGGTCTATAATGATTTGGCAAGTCTAGATGTCCTCAGCTCCAGAAATTAAGGATTGTTCTGGTTCAATGAAAACCGGTTAGAATTGGCATTCACCAACTCATGCTTGTTGAAAAGGCAACTAACAGGATTGGGTGGTCAGACTCTCGCTGACTTGGTTGACATAGGTCATTTTAGGAGATAAACTTCATGTGGAACCAGTTATTGAGTATTTGAAATGATGGGAATTCCGTGCTTCAAATACTCAATAACACCCAGAAATTCGCCAACACACATGATGTTTATTGACATTGTAAACACAAAAGTAAACCGAAAGGTCCACACGCGTTTTTGTGTCTGCTCTCATTGACATCGAAAGTACGGTACAGCAGTGAAATGTCATCAGCCGGCCGCTCGCTGTCACCCATGGTAGCATCTGAACTGCTCATTTGTGACGCGGACACAATATGATTTTAATGACGTCATCAGAGCTGATGACGTAACAATACAATGGTGTGAGCGATGTTTGTATGTATTAATACGCAGAGAATTACCGGGAATCAAATACCATTTGATCAGGTTTTTCAACCAATCAGATTAAAGAACACAGTGACTTTTGGTTTACAATGTATCCCAATTGCATAGATCGATGCTCATGCTGTTGATCACCGTATTGTCCTGTCCAGACCTATTTGTTTACAGCCTGCCTTCATACAGCTGGAATATTGCTGAATACAGATTTATACAACAAACCAACCATTTGGATTTGTTTTGTAGATTAATATATTTATATATATTTTTAGATAAGTATATTTCTGAGACTAAATATCAGTCTACCCTCAATTCCCAGGAATGCCATCGTGTTCCGCCTGGACTGGTCAGAGTGGTTCAAAGCCAACTTCCTCTTCTTCATCGACATCATCATCCTGATCTTCGGAGGGTTCGTCGTCGTGGGTCTCCTGTGCTTCCACTCCTACCTGATGGTCAAGGGGATGACCACATGGGAAGCTGCGTCCCGGGAGAGGATCACATATCTGAAATATCTTGATGATGACTATAATCCATTTGACGAGGGTGTGTGCAAAAATATGTACTACTTCCTGTGCGTGTGCAAGGTGCGGAAGTGGGAGAGTGTGTATTCCAAGAAAGCCGATGTCAATGGAAATGGAGGTATTGTGTGAATGTCGAGATGACTGAAATATTTCGTCACGTTAAGCTTAGATAATTCCAGATAAGCCTAACACCAGTCTAAGTAAACTTAGGCTCAGTATTATTCATTACACTGCTATACTGAGTCTAACAAACCATAGTAGAAGGTCACGTCAGCTAACCTTTTGAATTGACCAATCAGAACACAGCTGACCAAATCGCGAAAGTTAACATTCGCACATACCGTTTGAACTTTTACCTCGAAAATGTTTGTACCCGAATCATTCCGAATACTATTTTCTGCACGATCGCTTCCGAGTGATATACATGGCAGTGAGTAAACAGTCGCTGAAAATAGGTGTTTTGTCAATATTCCGTGTGGAAATATAAGCTAATAGTAACCATATCATCAGAAACCCCTAAGCAGGTCAAATATCTGTGTTTTATGCAGATTTTCGTTTGTTGAGAGATCACAGTGTCGGCGACCTGGGAAGAGCAAATCCAAAACATTTTGTCCCACCAAACCCTAAATACTAGTAGTAGCCGTTGTCTGATTGTTTAAATCCGTTCTGCTGTCTCACGTTTGACTGGATGGTTATAGATCGCTTAAAGGTTACTACTGGGGTTTGTTAGACTCAGTAAATAGCAGTGTAACGAATAACACTGAGCCTATGTTTACTTAGACTGGCCTATCAGTGTTCCAAATTAATGGGGTTCCTAGAATTTTTAACCATAAGTATTTGAATCCCCAAATCTTTGACATTCAACACTATGGTTTTGATAAGGATCCTTTGACTTTCGTACGTAATTATAAACATTGCTATCTCATTATGTGGTTCTGCAGATCATAAAAATAATGATTCAAATGACAGGATTGCATTTGATAAACTGACACATTGCCCAATACTTTACATATCTCAAAGACGCTTTAAAAAATTTGTACGGGAACCACTCTTGAAAAGTGTCTTCCAATTTATTAAGCTCAGCTCAAATATATCACATATCAACACTATTAAAGTTAACTAGAAATAATTACAAGAAGCAAGTTTGAACTGATGTCTCAAAACATGTTGCACAATATTTCTAGGGCACATAGAGTTTCACATCTGGCACCATTTTGTATTGTGTTCAGAAACATTTGTCCACCTGTTGAAAGTTCAACACAACCAAACCTCTACAGGGGCTCGACAAACAAAAACTTACATGTCGCTAGATCGTTGTCAATGTTGTCTCTATACATTTGTAGTTAATCTCCCATTGCATAACATGAATATGGTTTTCAGCTACATCATCTGGGAACACCAGAAGTATGCTTCATACATTTCACCCTTGTGGGGAATCAAACCCAGGTGTTTGGCATGATGAGCGAACACTTAACCAGTAGACTACCCCACGTCCCCTGTGTGACGTGTACATTGGGAGAGTCAGGGCTCCAGATATTTTTTCATGATCAGGAGTACGTACTCCTTATTTTTTCAATGTAGGAGTACTGGAAAACAATAAGAGTACATATAGAGTACTGAATGGAATTTATAGAGAATCTCACTCAAGTGTCTTCTGATATCAATTATATCAACGAGTGTTGATATATTTGATATTAGAAGACACGAGGGTGAGATTCTATTTATCATCAAAAATCACTCTTAATTAATGTTCAATGAAAAATGTACATCTCTGAACATGGTACTGCCATTAGACCTTGCAGTGCAGCGATGTCATAGCATTGTGATGTTATCAAGTACATGACGTCATAGCATTGTCAGGGCATTGTACAAAATCTACTGTCAAAACGATATCTCCTAGGAGATATCGTTTGATCTCACACAAGCGATATCTCCTGTGGAACACAGTTTTGGATGATAAAATGGAGTATCAGTAATCGTGTTTCGTTTCATATATGCACCACAGCATTGCTACTCTTGTGTAAACAGGTCAATAAACAATAAATCAATAATGTTTCAGATATATACGTCTGTACATGATTCCAAGACCGTACACCATTGCTGTGGTGCGTATCTGCTGCGTTTTCTAAGTTATTTCATACCGTATCGTGCATATTTTATATCCTTACATACGCCGATATGTTCCTTATCTGGAGCCCTGGAGAGTGTTAGGAGTGTGTAATAACAATGCTTCAAGCAATGAATCAATACGTTTGTATGAATGTTTGTGTGTGTTTACTGTTTGTCAGCTTTGAAAATGAATGACATATTTTCTTTATTACCATTGTTGATGTTTGGTCATATCACAGCATAATACATTATGATTATTTTGATTACATGATACCAGGTGGTTTGTCCATGAGATTACTGAAGTGTTATGCCTGAAAAATGTAGAACAAGATTTATATTGCATATTCTACTCAAAGAATGATAAGAAATATACATTTTTGGAAAATATACTCATGGAAACAAATAAGGGAACACATGAAAGTACAAGTGTTCCTTTATCCTTTTCCAGGTTTTTTCACAAGGTATATATTGCACTGTGGGTGAAATTCTGGAAATAAATAAAGGAACACTTGTACTTTCATGTGTTCCCTTATTGGTTTCTATGAGTATATTCATAAAATTGTTGCCACTAGTTTGCAGTGGTGATCCAGTGTGCGAAATTATGCTGGTCCTGTGGTCCCTGGCTAGTAAAAATTCATCAGGACCACTAATTTATAAGCTTGCAGTGGTCTTTGTGGCCAGTGAATTTTGTATTGATAGTTAAGTAAATCTACCAATGTTATTTTGGACCAGTGAAGTACAGACATGACCAATAATTATTGTCCACTCACTGGTCCTGTGGTCTAGTGGGAAATTTTGATAGGTTTCTTTCCCTGTGATCTGCTGGGGACGTACTACCAATGTAATGATAAGTCTGGTAGTTACAAGGACATGGTACTAGTCATGGACTAAGTCTTGTTATTGAACCTCTTAGGATTGTACCGATTGTAAACAGTGATTGATAATGAAATGCTTATTGTATCCATGGAGATAATGAAATGCTTATTGAATCCATTGAGATAATGAAATGCTTATTGTATCCATGGAGATAATGAAATGCTTATTGTATCCATGGAGATAATGTGCTTATTGTATCCATGGAGATAATGAAATGCTTATTGTATCCATGGAGATAATGAAATGCTTATTGTATCCATGGAGATAATGAAATGCTTATTGTATCCATGGAGATAATGAAATGCTTATTGTATCCATGGAGATAATGAAATGCTTATTGTATCCATGGTAATCATGAAATTAACTTTTTTGAGTGGCATGTAGAAGTTAGTGTGATGAGTGGGGAGAGTTCTATGGATATACAACTTCTTTATTATTAATATGAGTGACATTTCGGTGTAGCTACTAACACCGTCATCATTGCTTGATAATAATGAAATGCATACTGAATCCATGATTATTGTTCCCTAAAGACAACATGCAATTTGTTTGAATATCCCTGTCACAAGGTGGTGAAGGTCCTCCCACAACCTTAATGTCAGAACCCTTAGGTGGAGAACGATCAAACAGTGGTGACCTAGTCAAAGAGACCTAAGTAAAGCTGAAGGGGTCATTATCGGCACAGGTACTTCAGATATGTACCCCAGGTACTTTTCTGTATACAGTAATGTACCCTAAACAAAGTCATAATACAGAAACCCACCTGGTACCCTAACGAGGGATGAGTCCATATTCCACAACCACAAACATATGTTGTTGTTCCCGTTCAACTGATTGCCTGAGGTATTGTGCATCGTGAAATATTCCTTATTCCTCGTTTCTTGTAAAACACAATGAAATGCATTTATTACAACTGTTTGACAGTTCCAACTAAGAGAAAGGCACAATGCGGAATGGACTCATCCAAGGGTAGGTTCCTGTATTTTGATTTTGTTTACGGTACATTTCTGTATACGTAAACATACCTGGGATACACATCTGTACTACCCCTGCTGACGACCCCTCCAACCTAAGTAACTATACTACCCATCAAAAGTTTAGACTCACTAGTGTAAATGTAGCCACTTACCTCAGTCAACTGTTCTAAACTAGATTTGGCAAAATATCCCATAATGTTTAAAGGTACTGTTTACGCGTTAACTGATGTATTGTAAGACAAATTTGTAACGTTGAAAAGATTATTGTCATGAGTTCAATAAATGATGAAACTCAGTGAAAACTGGCTGAATATTTACCAAAACTTTTACACCAAAACGCATCTGTTCTTATGCATGATATTTGCACATGCTTGTCAGTAATTTGATGCATGATCCTCGTGCAAGGTTTGCAGGTGATTCTGCAAAGTTAGTGGAGAAATTCATCTTCGATGTAACCAGATGTATATACGTAACATACCGGTATAGTGAGTGCTTTAAGTGAGTCTAAACTTTTGATGGGTAGTATACTTCAAATTATCCTCACGGTTTGATACAACCGCAAATTGACGACTAAAGAGGGAAAGAGGGAATTTTACTTCAAGGGACATTTTGACACACCAGTATGTTTGACACAACAGTGTGACTGTGTATAACATGTGGAATACTTAAGTCGCCATTGTAGCAGGCGGAGTGTGTAACATACAGAATACTCACATCCTATAAATCTGTGTCGGAATTCTGTGTTAGGGGAACAGTATTGGTTGTGGTTAGAAGTCACTGATGTATATATACTCAACAAAAAATGTTAGGGAACATGACTATTTATGGGGAATTTTTAAAAATTGTTTGCTCAGTCTTAACTACAAAAATTATCCCAAAATATACATGATCCCTAAAAATATTTGTTCTGTATTTATCAATGTAAGTTGTTGTGTGGAAAGTGTTGCCCATGTCAATGTTATCTGTTACCAGCAGATTGTAATCATGTTGCATGTATCCGATGTTGCCAAAGTTGCAATGTTGTAGAGACAGTGTTAATATGCCAATGTTGATTTCACAAATTATGTGATGGAGGTTTTATTTTTCTATGTTCTACACATTCTAATTGAGAGTTATTACAGTATATGTTGGTAAATCTTTTCATTTTAGTGAACAGAAAATATACACTTAACCATATCATATTGCCTGTTAAGAGAGAAGTGAGAAATATTCTCATTCCATTCTATAATCCTACTTTTGTGTGTAACACTTATGAAAATAAGGAATGGTAACATTGTCAGTATTCAGGATACACAAACATTGTCACCAATCTATCTATTTATTTCTTCATAAGCCACCAAGAACGGTACGGGGGCTCTCAGCTTGTCTGTAGAATTATATTTTTTAACTTATTACCAGTCATTTTTTGTCTTTAATGAAGCATAATATATACTGTCTTTTTATCATGTTCATATTTCTGAATTTGGTAAAATTCTGATATAATACCAAATTTAGGAGCATCTAACAGAGTAAACTGATTAATATCAGGAAGTATCATCTTTTTACCTGTCATGAAAAAACCTGTCTAGTTTTCATATTTTTTTATGTCTTATATACTAATACAGTATGAACTGGGTCATTTATTATTAAGCACTTCTGCACTATTTGGGTCAAATACGGTGGAACAATGGTATTTATTGCAGCACGTTTGAGCAGAGATTCTTCAGCAATAGCACTCATGGGGTCAAATATTTTCGTGATGGTTATACATCACCAGCATCTACATCCTCGATAATATCCACTAGTACCCTGGATGCATCTACTGCTCAGCCCATTAATTTTATTACCTCCCTTTGCTGGCTTTTTATCCAATCAGGTGTCTATGCTGGGAAGACAAGGCTTCTATAATAACTCACCTTCGCTTCTTTGTCAAACCGATTAAACTTGGCAACATAATTGTTGTGCATATATTTTTTTAAGGTTTCAGACCTGCCAATTTGTTTCAATGATTTTTCCCCTCAGTCTGAGTTGTACAGCGAACAAACAGCTGCGGCTGGTATCTTTATTGAAACTGGTAAGATCAGTTGTAACAGCTTATCTGATTGGCTACTGTGAGAAGGCGGACCCAGCAAAGGGAGGTAATAAAATTATCGGGCCGAGCCATAGATGCATCCAGGTACTAGTGGAGATTTATTGGAATGTAAACCTTGGAGATTATCGAATATGCAGCATCTGCAGATGTATAAATTTGTATATGTGGTGAAGGCAATTTGCCTGTAGAAAGAGGAACTAATGTTTATTCATACATTTTACCTGGATTGATGTTATTTATTAGTTATTAATGTTCTTGTAATTTCTGTGTGTGTCTGCGTCCTGTTACGTACAGCATTTCCCTTGATAGTTTTCTAATACAGATAGAAAGGAACTGCACATAACTCTAAAATGAGTAATAATTTATATATATATATATCTTCAGTTGGTATATACAGTGAAATTTGTCTGGTCCCCCTCAGAAATTGTCCTGATTGACCATCAGTAACTGATATTATAAACATTATATACATGTATGTCGCATTCTGTCATACTTCTGTGTTGTTAAACTCTTATCCATTCCTGTGATACCAAATTTGTGTATTTTTTTTTTTTTTTTTTTTATATAATAATGGGCATATTTATTTATGTTTTCTTTTCTGGGCTTTCAAAGTTCCTCTGTGTCTGCTGACTTCAAAGATGGTCATCTTACCTGAATTTCTCCCATATTCAGCTGATATGTTGTGATGTAACTGGTGAGCCATTAAATTATGACACTTGTCAATTTTGGAATTTGTATTTGCAGATCATAGTTTTGGTTTGAGTAAGTGAGTTGGGTTTTAAGCTGCTTTTAGCCTTTTCCCAGCAATATCACAGCAGGGAGACACCAGAATTTGGCTTAACACATGTGGGGAATCAAACCCAGGTCTTAGGCGTAACAAGCGAATGCTTTAACCACTTGGCTACCCATTGGCCCAGTTTTTGCCTTTGGTTGGAGATCATAGATGAAGATCGTTGAAGGTAACTTGTGTACTATGTCTTTCACTGGAAGTTATGTGCGATATTATGTGCTCTCGTCATGTCTGGAAGAAAGTCCTTGTGTGTCAGTAATTTATTTGTACATCAGTCGTCTGTTGCTGTATATGACTGGTTTGTGGATTATGTGACATGATACCACAAGTGTTTCTCATTGTGATTTTACACCAGAATTCAGATTTTATTTTTATATAATTTTGACAAATGTTTTGAAAAGTAACACAAAATTTCATGGTAACAAAGTCATACAGAATTTGATCTAAATTTGTTTTGATGACAAGGTTACCTTTTACATGTCTAACACTTTTCTTTTGAAGGGCCCCTAAACCCTTGTAAGAGTGGGAAATGTGTGGATTTGTATATTTAGGGGTCAGGTAAGAAACATTACAATGTATTGTATGCTGAAAACCAGATTGAATCATTGCTTCCACTGTGCTAAACCTATCCTGCCAGAGTTATCTCCCTTCTTTCAAGGGTCACCATGGTAACTGTCAGTATGTATTCAGTGGTGTCACTGTTGTCTCCACCGTGTTGCTGTACATGGCAGTCTCATTGTAATACATGCACTAGTGGAATAAAGATAGGTTGACCAGTGGTCAGCTATAATGGCATGGTTGTATTTGTCTGGAGTATGAATGTAATGCGTTTGTTGTTGCACTCAGCAAAATGGCAGAACCAGACAATCCAGTGACCAACAGCATGAGCATCAGATGGCATGTGTCAACTAAGTCAGCGATGTTAGTCACCTCTTATGACAAGTATGGCTTGCTGAAGACAATTCTAACCTGGATCTTCACGTGGAGACAGTCTGCCTTAAGGAAAGGAAAAACAAGAACATCTGAATGATAATGGAATAATAATCAGCCTCCAACAGAGGGAAAAAATTCAGGACCCTTTTCTTCTTGAGCTAGAAAGCTACACAAAGCGTGTAAACATTGTATATTATATAGATACAGCCCTGGTGATATCTGACAAAAAAACCCCAATGATTGCACAATCCCATGTTAGACTTTTGTTGATTATAGTTTTATGCCTTTTTAAAGTAATATTCCAGTGGGGGAACAGCAGACATGTAGGAATCGAACCCAGCCATGCTAGCCCACCTCCCTTCAAGTAGCCATTGTAACAACATGATGATGCAGCTGCACCAGAGATCTTCACCCTAAAAATATATAATCAACAATGAGTAAAGTCTGTTATGTATTCCAAAAAATTACAGGAAAATCATAGTTAAAAATATAAATATAAAACATTTTACTCAGAGGAAAGAACCAATACGGGTTACCTGGACATTTGATAAGGACAGGTGACTCAGGAAGTTGCTTGGTCCTCCTCTAATAACCAAACAAGGTGATCCTCCTCTAATGCTCAATCATTCCTGTCAACTTCAAAATGTTTCTCATAGAAGTTGCTTCTCAACCTGACTGTCGCTGGGAGTAAAGGGAAAAAGCAGGAGTGGTCAGAGACCGAATACTGTACTTACGAAAGGTATTCATGTTCACTCTGTGGCTTGCTATCACACCACATTATTGAAACCCATTTCATCCCACCTACGCTTAACTGCAGAGCAGACTCAATTTTGATAATCAAGGATGTCATGTTGAGACCTTCTCAGCTGATTATTATAAATACAATAACAGTTATAATTTAAATTTTATTTTTTTATCTTGTGTACACATTTTAAGTCAGACTTTAGCTTTTGCTAATGCAAATAGTTATCTGTGCCTTTTGAGTTCCAAAGCTATATTAAAAGTTCCACAAAGGGATATTAAGTCTATGTTAAGTTATTTATTCATTAGCCTGTGCTGTGCCGAATCCATCCTGGTTTCTTAAGCCAGAAGGATTTGTTTGTCCCTTTCTCTGCACTATCTCCTCTATGGCCTATGAATAAATAGTGAACTGTGTCAAAATTTTAATGATAGTTTCTTAAAGAAGGTTTTTGGTGGGAACCGGAAAATTTTCAAATATAAGAATGCTGTTGGGTATTCGTAAATGATAAACATGTGTACTATTTATATTTTTATGTGGCAATTTTGTACACTGATAAAATTTGTAATTCATCGGTCCGTTTCTGACTCAAACGGACTGTAGTTGAATTACAAACAGGTCATGGTGATAATACATGTACAATCATATCAGTCACAGCCCTGAGCACTAATACAATACTGAAACTGTTCCTGTGCATAAACATAGAATATTCACTGTATAAAACATAAACACATCTATTTGATTTTATATAAAAATCATGCAATATTGTAATTATTCACAACAATAAAAAATATAAAGGTTATCAATGATGCTTGGAATGTAGAAAAATACTAAAAACATACAAAAATGAAAATACAACTTGTAGAATACTGAATCTAGAAAGGGACATTTAGCTGCTCCATCAAGTACAGTAAACTCAATCATAACAAACTCGAGGGAATATTAATTTTAGTTCGTTATGACCTTGGCTCGTTAGATGCATCTTGACCAAAATTTACAAGTGGCTGGGCCCCCAAATATAGTTATGTGTTAGTCCATTATAAGCGTGTAAACATAGTGTACTGTATTGTAATTCTGACTGTTACCAAATGAAATATAGACATAGTTCACAGAGTGAGTGAGTGAGTTGGGTTTGACACCTCTTTCAGCAATATTCCAGCAACATCAGTGTGGGACACCAGAAATGGGCTTTACACTTTGCACCCATGTGGGGAATTGAACCTGGGTCTTAGGAGCGATGAGGGGACGCTTTAACCACAAGGCTACCCCACCACCCCACACACTAAGTACCATATACTGCAGTATATCTGCAACCCCACATAGAGGGCCACCTCCCCCAACAAGCCTTCAAAATCAACGCCATCATCACTGGAACCTGAACGTAAAACAGCTGGAAAAAGATTGAAATTTTCTACCCCGCTCAAAGGGGACCACTCAATTATCAAACTCCAATTTTTGGGTACAAACAACTAGCATAAGGTCAAGGTCGGTGTACCATTTCAAGGTCATTGAATATTCCAATGTTACTGATCATGCGAAACGTCACAGTTGCAGTTGAACAACCAATACTTGTGTATTTTTACAATACTATAGTCCAGTTGTATGACAGAGGTCTGAAGTAATTATGTCTGGACCAGATAATCTAGTGATTGATATTATGAGCCAAAATTGACTGACTGACTGAGTTAGTTTTACGCCACTTTTAGCAATATTCCAGCAATATCACGGCGGGGGACACCAGAAATGGGCTTCACACATTGTGCCCATGTGGGGAATCGAGCCCGGGTCTTCGGCGTGACGAGTCAACGCTTTAACCACTAGGCTACCCCACCGCCCCATGAGCCTTGAACAACACTCTTGTTACAATGACATGAAAAATCAACCCAGTAACTTGGCCTTACCACTTGATCATTCAAAGTACGACACTACAAATGGGCTGAACACATTGTACCTTTGTGGAGAATTGAACCCGGTTCTTCTGCGTGACGAGAAAACAGTTTATCCACTGTTGTTGTTTCCAGTACAATGTGAACAGGATAACAAGAAGACAAAGTCATCAATATCCCTGCAATGGCAAGATACTCTTCATGATTATGTCTACGAGTTATGATTATGTCAAATATTTAGGTGTGTATATAGAAAAGTGGAAGGAGAGTATTGAAAGGTTTTTAAAGTTCTGCTCAAGAAAGGAGCACTACCACCAATTTCAGTCTATGTCAAACTTGTTGCCATGGAAACGCTAAAAATATTTTTATTCAGAATTCCAAAACTACCAAAAGGCACCAGTACACCATCAGATCCATGTATGTGCCAAGTTTGGTGAAGAAATATTGAACGGTTTTAGAGTTCTGCTCTGGAAAAGACAAAAGTGCATGGAGGCACGCACGGATGGAGTCTATTTTAATACCCCCCCGTAAAACGCGTTGCGGGGGATAACAACCGTTCACACCCAGCTTATTTGCTAATGGACTTATCTTGTATGGGAACATTTTGGGAACTGCTTTTCCTGACAATGAGCTGTGAAACATGTGGTGCCTCATAATCATCAACTACTTTCAGCTCAACAGAGATGTAGCTCACTCGACCTCAACTGTCCTGTGTGTGGTAGAATCCCACTTGACCTTTCTGGCCAGATGAATGGTAGAAACTCACTCGACCTCAACTGTCCTGTGTGTGGTAGAATCCCACTTGACCTTTCTGGCCAGATGAATGGTAGAAACTCACTTGACATTTCTGGTCAGATGAGTGGTAGAAACTCGCTTGACCTTTCTGGCCAGATGAGTGGTAGAAACTCACTTGACCTTTCTGGTCAGATGAGTGGTAGAAACTCACTTGACCTTTCTGGCCAGATGAGTGGTAGAAACTCACTTGACCTTTCTGGTCAGATGAGTGGTAGACTCTCACTTGACCTTTCTGGTCAGATGAGTGGTAGTAACTCACTTGACCTTTCTGGTCAGATGAGTGGTAGACTCTCACTTGACCTTTCTGGTCAGATGAGTGGTAGACTCTCACTTGACCTTTCTGATCAGATGAGTGGTAGACTCTCACTTGACCTTTCTGGTCAGATGAGTGGTAGTAACTCACTTGACCTTTCTGGCCAGATGAGTGGTAGAAACCCACTTGACCTTTCTGGTCAGATGAGTGGTAGAAACTCACTTGACCTTTCTGGTCAGATGAGTGGTAGAAACTCACTTGACCTTTCTGGTCAGATGAGTGGTAGAAACCCACTTGACCTTTCTGGCCAGATGAGTGGTAGAAACTCACTTGACCTTTCTGGCCAGATGAGTGGTAGAAACTCACTTGACCTTTCTGGCCAGATGAGTGGTAGAATCCCACTTGACCTTTCTGGCCAGATGAGTGGTAGAAACTCGCTTGGCCTTTCTGGCCAGATGAATGGTAGAAACTCTTTTGACCTTTCTGGCCAGGCAGTGGTAGAAACTCACTTGACCTTTCTGGTCAGATAAGTGAAAGAAACCCACTTGACCTTTCTGGCCAGATGAATGGTAGAAGCTCATTTGACCTTTCTGGTCAGATGAGTGGCAGAAACCCACTTGACCTTTCTGGTCAGATGAATGGTAGAAACTCGCTTGGCCTTTCTGGCCAGATGAATGGTAGAAACTCGCTTGCCCTTTCTGGCCAGATGAATGGTAGAAACTCACTTGACCTTTCTGGTCAGATGAGTGGTAGAAACTCGCTTGGCCTTTCTGGCCAGATGAATGGTAGAAACTCGCTTGCCCTTTCTGGCCAGATGAATGGTAGAAACTCACTTGGCCTTTCTGGCCAGATGAATGGTAGAAACTCACTTGACCTTTCTGGTCAGATGAGTGGTAGAAACTCACTTGACCTATCTGGCCAGATGAGTGGTAGAAACTCACTTGACCTTTCTGGCCAGGCAGTGGTAGAAACTCTTTTGACCTTTCTGGTCAGATGAGTGGTAGAAACCCACTTGACCTTTCTGGCCAGATGAATGGTGGAAACTCGCTTGACCTTTCTGGCCAGGCAGTGGTAGAAACTCACTTGACCTTTCTGGTCAGATGAGTGGTAGAATCCCACTTGACCTTTCTGGCCAGATGAGTGGTAGAAACTCACTTGACCTTTCTGGCCAGATGAGTGGTAGAAACTCACTTGACCTTTCTGGCCAGATGAGTGGTAGAATCCCACTTGACCTTTCTGGCCAGATGAGTGGTAGAAACTCGGCTTGGCCTTTCTGGTCAGATGAATGGTAGAAACTCTTTTGACCTTTCTGGCCAGGCAGTGGTAGAAACTCTTTTGACCTTTCTGGTCAGATAAGTGAAAGAAACCCACTTGACCTTTCTGGCCAGATGAATGGTAGAAACTCACTTGACCTTTCTGGTCAGATGAGTGGTAGAAACTCGCTTGGCCTTTCTGGCCAGATGAATGGTAGAAACTCGCTTGCCCTTTCTGGCCAAATGAATGGTAGAAACTCACTTGACCTTTCTGGCCAGATGAATGGTAGAAACTCACTTGACCTTTCTGGTCAGATGAGTGGTAGAAACTCACTTGACCTATCTGGCCAGATGAGTGGTAGAAACTCTTTTGACCTTTCTGGCCAGGCAGTGGTAGAAACTCTTTTGACCTTTCTGGCCAGGCAGTGGTAGAAACTCTTTTGACCTTTCTGGTCAGATGAGTGGTAGAAACCCACTTGACCTTTCTGGCCAGATGAATGGTAGAAACTCATTTGACCTTTCTGGTCAGATGAGTGGTAGTAACTCACTTGACCTTTCTGGTCAGATGAGTGGTAGAAACCCACTTGACCTTTCTGGTCAGATGAATGGTAGAAACTCACTTGACCTTTCTGGTCAGATGAGTGGTAGAAACTCGCTTGGCCTTTCTGGCCAGATGAATGGTAGAAACTCGCTTGCCCTTTCTGGCCAGATGAATGGTAGAAACTCACTTGGCCTTTCTGGCCAGATGAATGGTAGAAACTCACTTGACCTTTCTGGTCAGATGAGTGGTAGAAACTCACTTGGCCTATCTGGCCAGATGAGTGGTAGAAACTCACTTGACCTTTCTGGCCAGGCAGTGGTAGAAACTCTTTTGACCTTTCTGGCCAGGCAGTGGTAGAAACTCTTTTGACCTTTCTGGTCAGATGAGTGGTAGTAACTCACTTGACCTTTCTGGCCAGATGAATGGTAGAAACTCACTTGGCCTTTCTGGTCAGAAGAATGGTAGAAACTCACTTGCCCTTTCTGGCCAGATGAGTGGTAGAAACCCACTTGACCTTTCTGGTCAGATGAATGGTAGAAACTCATTTGACCTTTCTGGCCAGATGAGTGAAAGAAACCCACTTGACCTTTCTGGCCAGATGAATGGTAGAAACTCATTTGACCTTTCTGGTCAGATGAGTGGTAGAAACCCACTTGACCTTTCTGGTCAAATGAATGGTAGAAACTCATTTGACCTTTCTGGTCAGATGAGTGGTAGAAACCCACTTGACCTTTCTGGTCAGATGAATGGTAGAAACTCATTTGACCTTTCTGGCCAGATGAGTGGTAGAAACTCACTTGACCTTTCTGGTCAGATGAGTGGTAGAAACTCTTTTGACCTTTCTGGCCAGATGAGTGGTAGAAACTCACTTGACCTTTCTGGTCAGATGAGTGGTAGAAACTCACTTGCCCTTTCTGGCCAGATGAGTGGTAGAAACTCACTTGCCCTTTCTGGCCAGATGAGTGGTAGAAACTCACTTGACCTTTCTGGTCAGATGAGTGGTAGAAACTCACTTGCCCTTTCTGGTCAGATGAGTGGTAGAAACTCACTTGACCTTTCTGGCCAGATGAGTGGTAGAAACTCACTTGACCTTTCTGGTCAGATGAGTGGTAGAAACTCTTTTGACCTTTCTGGCCAGATGAGTGGTAGAAACTCTTTTGACCTTTCTGGCCAGATGAGTGGTAGAAACTCACTTGACCTTTCTGGCCAGATGAGTGGTAGAAACTCACTTGCCCTTTCTGGCCAGATGAGTGGTAGAAACCCACTTGACCTTTCTGGTCAGATGAGTGGTAGAAACTCACTTGCCCTTTCTGGCCAGATGAGTGGTAGAAACCCACTTGCCCTTTCTGGTCAGATGAGTGGTAGAAACCCACTTGCCCTTTCTGGTCAGATGAGTGGTAGAAACTCTTTTGACCTTTCTGGCCAGATGAGTGGTAGAAACTCTTTTGACCTTTCTGGTCAGATGAGTGGTAGAAACTCTCCTCATGTTTTTAGTCAGATAAGTCTTCGCTACCGAGTTGATTGAAAAAGATCACAGTTTTTTAAGGCAAGGACCATTGGAGAAACCATTAACCCAAGGTTTCACTAACACAGACACTGTTAATTAACTGCCACCATCATACATCTGGAACATACCGTGACATCACACAATCCCATACTGAGTGAGTAAGTAAGTGTGTGAGTCAATATGTGAGTGAGTGAGTGAGTGAACTGTTAGCAATATTCCAGGTTTTCTGCATGATGATCAAACACTTTAACCACTAAGCTACATTATCTCTCCATAAAGCAAATGAACACAGAAAAAACATTAACATTGAACACATAGCTTGGCAACAGGTCTTCAATCATGGTTATAAATCAATGGTATAAAATCTGAATCTTGCAATAAAATGACAGGACAAGGTACATATAAGTATATTTGGTTCAATACATTGAATCTCATTTCTAAATTGTACATTAAGATAACCCAGTCTAAGTAAACTTAGGCTCAGTATTATTCGTTACACTGCTATACTGAGTCTAACAAACTTTGTGGAATGTCGCTTCAGGTAACCTTTGACCGTCCAATCAAACGCGAGATGGCCGAACGGATTTAACCAATCAGACAACGGCTACTATTTAGGGTTTGGCGGGACTTACAAAATGGATTTTATCTTCCCCGGTCGCCAACACAAAACTCATAACAAATGAAAACCTGCATAAAACACAGATATATGACCTGCAGAATATACGCTTTTGGGTTTCTGTTGACATGGCTATCATTAGGTAATATTTCCGCAAGCTGACATCCTTGAATACTGACAAAACGCTATTTGCAGCGACTGTTTACTCACTCTTGTGGCGTGCTCCATGTGCATCACTCAGAAGCGATCGTACGGAAAATAGCATTCGGAATCGTTCGGGTACAAAACTTTTTCGAGGTAAAGGTTCAAACAGTATGTGCAAATGTTAACTTTCGCGATTTGGTAAGCTGTGTTCTGATTGGTCAGTCCAAAAGGTTAGCTGACACAACCTTCTACTAGGTTTTGTTAGACTCAGTATAGCAGTCTAACGAATAATACTAAGCCTAAGTTTATTTAGACTGTAAGATAACCATAGTTATTGCACAGAGTGAGATAGCTTTAGTTACAGCATTGAGTGAGATAACCATGATTACAGTGAGATAACAGCTGTGAGACAACCATACATATGATATAGAGTGAGATAACTATAGTGAGATAACCTTAGTCTGATAACCATAGTCACGCTATAGTGTGAGATAACCATACATATGATATAGAGTGAGATAACAATAGTCACGCTATAGTGTGAGATAACCATAGTTATTCATGTTTAACCATAGTTACATCTCATGTGCTGCTTATAGTGTTGGTATTGGTCGAAATCTCACAATTGATGATTGGTTCATTACGAACAAGGTATCATTGAAAAAAATGGTAAGCAACATTTTTCAGATTTTCTTATTCAAGTTTTGTTATTGCAAATAAGTATAACTTGATGCAACTTGCTACTCTAAAGTGATGACTAATATATCATGAACATAAACTTCCCGGAGTCTTCAAGAAATATTCAGTCATGACCCTTCAGTAGGAGTTGTCTAAGATGTAAACATGTTTTCAGGTCCTGACAACCTCTAAGATATGTTCCATCGTCAAGTGTTTCAAACGCTAAAACAGTAGATCCAAAATTGTATGTGTTTGATTATGAGAAAATGTGATCGATTGCTTGGTCGTTCGGTCACTGCGACCAATCTTTGATTATTTCAATTAATCAGAACACCACTAGTTTCAAAAGGTGTTTAATTTGTGCTCGATTTTAATTCATTGATCAAAGAATGGTGTTTGATAAAGTCCTTTGGCCTGATAGAACAGGCAAAATAGCACTTAAAAAAAAGAAGTGTTGGGGGAAAATGTCATAAAAGTTTTAATTAAAAACAAGAATTTTTAAAAGAAACACTTGCATGTCTTAGAAATATAATAGTTAAAAGTCGTGATAGGCCTATATTTTTCCATGATCGTGTCTTTGATAAAAGCTGACTTTCAAAGAGGCAGCATTACAGCCACAGAGTGACAAAATGTCTTAAAGAGATTTACCAGCAGGTATACTGTGCATAAACAATATAAAGCAACAAAATGTGCAATTGGAAACACTTCAGCTATAGGAGTACATGCCCATTTCATAGTTCCATTAATAAAAAATGAAACCCTTTTCTCATGAATAACATGTTTAAAACAAACAAAAGAATTAAATGTTGTCCTGCTCCAAGTAACCAACTGAAGTTATACATACCCACACCCATAAATAATGATCACACAGGAAAGTCATACCTACACAGGTGAGTCATACCTACACAGGTGAGTCATATCTACACAGGTAAGTCATACCTACACAGGTGAGTCATGCATACACAGAACTCATACCTACACAGGTGAGTCATGCATACACAGAACTCATACCTACACAGGTGAGTCATGCATACACAGAACTCACACCTACACAGGTGAGTCATGTCTACACAGAACTCATACCTCTACACAGATGAGTCATACCTACACAGAACTCATACTTACACAGGTGAGTCATGTCTACACAGAACCCATACCTACACATTTGAGTCATCCCTACACAGAACCCATACCTATACAGTTGAGTCATGCCTACACAGAACTAATACCTCTACACAGGTGAGTCATATCTACACAGAACTCATACCTCTACACAGAACTAATACCTCTACACAGGTGAGTCATATCTACACAGAACTCATACCTCTACACAGAACTTATACCTACACAGGTGAGTCATCCCTACACAGAACTCATACCTCTACACAGAACTTATACCTACACATTTAAGTCATCCCTACACAGAACCCATATCTATACAGTTGAGTCATGCCTACACAGAACTTATACCTACACAGGTGAGTCATATCTACACAGAACTCATACCTCTACACAGAACTTATACCTACACAGGTGAGTCATCCCTACACAGAACTCATACCTCTACACAGAACTTATACCTCACACAGGTGAGTCATCCCTCATACCTCTACACAGAACTTATACCTACACAGGTGAGTCATCCCACAGAACTCTACACAGAACTTATACCTACACAGGTGAGTCATCCCTACACAGAACTCATACCTCTACACAGAACTTATACCTACACAGGTGAGTCATCCCTACACAGAACTCATACCTCTACACAGAACTTATACCTACACAGGTGAGTCATCCCTACACAGAACTCATACCTCTACACAGAACTTATACCTACACAGGTGAGTCATCCCTACACAGAACTCATACCTCTACACAGAACTTATACCTACACAGGTGAGTCATCCCTACACAGAGCTCATACCTCTACACAGAACTTATACCTACACAGGTGAGTCATCCCTACACAGAACTCATACCTCTACACAGAACTTATACCTACACAGGTGAGTCATCCCTACACAGAACTCATACCTCTACACAGAACTCATACCTACACAGTTGAGTCATGCCTACACAGAACTTATACCTACACAGGTGAGTTATCCCTACACAGGTGAGCCATGCCTGCACAGAACTCATACCTACACAGGTGAGTCATGCCTACACAGAACTCATACCTACACAGGTGAGTCATGCCTACACAGGTGAACCATGCCTGCACAGAACTCATACCTACACAGGTGAGCCATGCCTCCACAGAACTCATACCTACACAGAACTTATACCTACATCTTACCCAAACAAGAAAGCCATGTCAACACAGGAGTGTCTTACCTACACAGAACTCATCTAAATAGGCAAGTCATACACACATATGTAACACCTTCACTGAAGGCTTCCTGCATAGTTAACTTATTACTTAGTATCTACAATGGCAAGAAACATGTGCTCACGGCCACTGGTTACCTGAATCGGCTCAACCTCCTCAAACAGTACAGCATCACGTGTTTGATATTAAGGTGGTCAGAGAAGAAATATTAGCTGACCATTATTTTGAAACACATAATAACATGATTAAAAGACACATTGAGATAACAAATGTCACAATTTGATTGTTTTTTTATGATATACATACATGTGTTTGACACTAAACAAATCATTGAATCCTAGGAAATTCTAGAACATGTTCATCACAACACAAAATTCTCTTTCATTTTCTAAAAAATGGTATACCTTCCTGAATAATACTTATGATAAAAAATAATTCATTCAAAAATTCAACACCACACACTGAAAAATATCACAGGCAAAATCTGAAAGACGAAGCTGCCAAACATCGTAGGCTACATCTGACGTTTGCTTTCTGCTGCTTTAGCTGGTTCAAACAGGCAGTTGCTCCATTGTTTGCTGCCGTCTGCTTGCATGCTGATCATGGAGGCGTGGAATGTTGGTGCATCATCGTCATCCGCCTGGAGCAATATTCAAAATATTCTTACGAAGGGGGAGCAATATCTGACATTTAAGTCAACTACAACATACAACTCTCTAACTGGCATCCATCTTGTTCATAGTGGGTTTAGATTCTACAAAACCTTGGTAAAATTATTCATGTCTACAAAGATGTTTAATTATGCATTCAACATATTTGCCCTTATACAAATGCATGCAAGTGAATTTGTACGTGTGTGCATGTTTAATGGTAGCCCACTGTGATACAGTGCTACAGTTCAGACAGAATACCCCATTCGTAACTACTCGCCTCTTTCCGTGACCTACAAGAAGATTCGGACCCTTATCAAACGCCATTATTGCCAAGAATTGTGGCAAACCAATCAAATCGCTCGTAGTAAACCGCATTTCGAAGCATGAAAATGGCGGCACCGTTGAAGTTTGAAACTCCGCTGAACTATGCAAAGCACAATATAAACATAAACTTTGAGCTAAAGGATCAGCAACTTCAAATCCTGAAACATATTTACAAAGGGAATGACTGTATTGCTGTTTTGCCCACGGGATATAGGATATTCTAGGAGCCATGTTTGGAAATTCAGAGTTATCTTCCCTTGGTAATAGCACTAGACTATTTTCATCTCCATGCCCGTTTGCGCTTAGACAGGGCCCAGTCGTAAACATGGCCACGAGAGGGGTACGAGACGCAATCTGGCTTGCCGGAATGACACGAGTAGTTACGAATGATACTACTCAACCAGTTCTCGCCTTATCCTTTGATCATAACCAAATCTGCAATTATCATAGCATCCTGCCATGCTAAGGGACACAACACTGCACAGGTAATTACATGGCCCTTTTTTGTTGGAGCACTATGCTAAAGCCTATATGATGACTTTTCCAGTTATGTATAAGGCTCCTTGTTTCACCTCTTAAAATAATCCTTGGCTGCCGAGACACTAATATCTAGAGCATTGTGGGTCTCCCTGCCAAAATGTAGCTTGATGTATCTATGGAGATCTACGGTTATATGAGATTATATTTTTAGTCACTTTGTGAATATTTTGCGAGCGCTTCAGTAAAGATAATATGACTAAGCTTGATTAGCAAGTTAGGTAGGTAATATTTTCGATGTAAGGACTGTCTGCCGTACGTAAAAATAGACCCTCATTATTCTGTATTTACCGGTATAATGTAATCTAACATCATTATATTTTGTTATATTTACATCAGTCAGCAGACAACCACTGTCACAATAATAATTAGTCTCATTTTTGTTTAGAAATAGTTTGTGTGTGTGCAGGAAATGATGGAAATAATGAGAGGATGTGTAAAATGATGTAACATGTTCTATTTGGGATTACACTTTCTTAGCAAAGTACAAATTCTACTACTTTTTACGTTTTTGTTTCATCCAGGATTCGAACCCACATTCTCAGAGTCAGGCACCTAATCGCCAGCACTCAAAGTCAGCCGCCTAACCCGCTCAGCCACCGCGACTTCCACAAAATGTGTAAACTCAGAAGAACCAAGATCGAAGACTACATCTGTTTTTGCTTTGAAAAAGAAGTATGAAACAATCCCAGTACCCACGTAAAGCTGCACTACGTGTATATCTTTCCCTATACTACAGATGGCATTGTTGGTGAAATGTTTTTTGACAAATTTACTAAAAAGAAGAATGAGTAAGAACTGACCATAAGTGAAAACACTCCTTCCATTGTGGCTGACAGAAGATATTCAGCCTGGATGGTCATCAGACGTAACTCAACAAGGGGAGAACACTCTTGTAGCTGTACTGTGTATGTTAGAGTTCTCTCCCCTTCATGCCATGCCCACTGCACAACTTCATACCATGATATGATTAGCTCTTCACTATTGTCTGCAACAGGCACGCAGATGGTCAGTCATGGTGGCCATTTACAGCTATAACATACAAAAACACTTGCAACATAAACTATTACTGTGTGATTGAGCTGGGCTTAATGTCAATTTGAACAGTGTTCCAATAAAATGGACCTTGAGCTAAATGTGAGAAGAAGGCCCAAGGTGAGGCAGGTCTCAGATTTTCACCACATCAGCTAAACCCATGAGCAAGGATATGCTGCTGAAAAGTCTATGAAAATAACTGAAGCTGGATTCAAACCCAAACTTTTAGCATTCTGTCATGTCCAAGGGAGGCAACTCTGGACAAAAATGGGGTACCTTAGACAACACGGCCATCCTTGCCCCTCAATAAGTAATCTATGCCAGATGAGCAATGAGCAATCATCATCAGGGTCACACAAATTCCTGCCCAGGACATATTCTGCTTCAGGAGAAGTCTAAGTAAACTTAGGCTCAGTATTATTCGTTACACTGCTATACTGAGTCTAACAAAACCTTGTGGAAGGTCGCGTCAAGTAACCTTTGAGCGACCTATGACCGTCCAATCGAACGCGAGACAACCGAACGGATTTAACCAATCAGACAACGGCTACTATTTAGGATTCGGCGGGACTTACAAAATGGATTTTATCTTCCCCGGTCACCAACACTGATCTCACAACAAATGAAAACCCACATAAAACACAGATATATGACCTGCAGAATATACGCTTTTGGGTTTCTGTTGACATGGTTATCCTTAGCTAATATTTCCGCAAGCTGACACCCTTGAATACTGACAAAACGCTATTTTCTGCGACTGTTTACTCACTCTTGTGGCGTGCTCCATGTGCATCACTCGCAAGCGATCATACGGAAAATAGCATTCGGAATCGTTCGGCTGCAAAACTTTTTCAAAAGTTCAAAAGGTATGTGCGAATGTCAACTTTCAGCGATTTGGTAAGCTGTGTTCTGATTGGTCAATTGAAAAGGTTACCTGACGCGACCTTCCATAAGGTTTTGTAAGACTCAGTATAGCAGTGTAACGAATAATACTGAGCCTAAGTTTACTTAGACTGCCTCAGGAGCAATGTTGGAAGCATTACAGGAGTGAGTGAGTGATACTGTGGGTTTGTTAGATTATGAAATAATTCTCACAGGTGTGGACTGACATATTAATGAAAGTAAATCATCTATAAAACATCACAACTATTGTCAATACTTCATGGGTTTATTTGTTTCTTTGTTCACTGCAATATTCCAGCTATATGGTGGCAGTCTGTAAATAATTGAATCTGGACCAGACAATCATATACACAACTTTCCGACTATGCCTGTGAATACAGACACTTGGCAGTGTAGTCACTGTTTTTAACCAGTGACTCAAGCTATTACCGGAAACAATACAATGCATTTAGACATCCCCAAAGCAATATTTGTAGCCTTATACGAGACCGTTAATAATTTTTATGGCTGGTGTGTGTGAGTGTGTGTGTGTGTGTGTGTGTGTGTGTGTGTGTGAGTGAGTGAGTGAGTGAGTGAGTGAGTGAGTGAGTGAGTGAGTGAGTGAGTGAGTGAGTGAGTGAGTGAGTGAGTGAGTGGATGATGATGATTTCAGATTTCAGGGTGGGGTGGGGGTGTCACCCATTTTGTCCTGGGGTGGTGGTGGTGGGGGAATCAATTTTGTACACATATATTAGGGGGGTCAGCAATTTTAAACGATTTGTGCTGAAAAATTATGGGAAGTGGGAGGGGGTGATAATTGATTTTGTACATGATATGCAAATGTGTGTGTGTGTGTGTGAGAGAGAGAGAGAGAGGGTGTGATGAGAGAGAGAGAGAGAGAGTGTGTGAATTACTTTGTACATAAATTTTAGGGGGGTCATTCACATTGTACATGCTTTGCCATAAAAATCATCATCACCCCCTCTTGCCATAAATTATGAACGGTCCCTAAGGCAAATTTAAGACATTATATTTAGTAGTTTATGGAACAGACTCATGAATATAGGTGATAATTGTAGTTCCCTTTTTTTTGCAGCTACACTACATCTCTTAACAACCCACGAAATACTGACAAGGCATCACAAAATTAGCAAAGAAAATTATAAGCAAACTACCTGATACAACTTTCAAACCATGCTTGGAAACAAAAACAGACAACAAACTGTTTCTCGGCCACTGGAAAGAAACAACATACAATAAGGATCTGTTTGGTTGTGGTTTAACGCCGCACTCAGCAATGTTTCAGCTATAGCGGCGGTCTGTAAATAATCGAGTCTGGACCAGACAATCCAGTGATCAACAGCATGAGCATCAATCAATCATAATAAGTAACCAAGGATGGATCAGACTGTGAGTGCAAACTACCCATTTGCTGTCAACTATCTAAGACAACTATACAATCACATTATTTGTTTTTAAGGGACTGACCATTAAGGTTAGGGAATATTTTTCACTACTTTAAGCCACTCAAATTGTTTGTCTGAAATGAGGAATTGAACAAATTCATTTTTGTATTTTTCATGCCCTGCAACATGTCATAGGAACAGCGATTCTGTAGAAAACACATGTGAGCCAAAAGTTCTTATTCATTTTCTGGAACAATTTCTTTTACTGACTGACTGAGTTTGGTTTTACGCCGCTTTTAGCAATATTCCAGCAACATCACGCCGTGGGACACCAGAAATGTGCTTCACATATTGTACCCATGTGGGGATTCAAACCCGGGTTTTCAACATGACGAGCCAATGCTTTAACCACTAGGCTACCCCACCGCCCCACAATTTCTTTTAAAAAACTCTCTCAGAATCCAAACAAAGATGATCAAGTCAAATATATCTACTTGTTTTACAGGTTCATCTGATATTTGTAAAAGTGAAATGGGAAGAAACAAAACATGTATACTTGGAATTATTTTATATATTTGTACTTTTTGTTTGCATATTATATTAACATATTTTCGAAACCTGAAATTAACATTAACACTATGTTTTAAAATATCAGCCCTTTAAGTACCAAGAGAACCTGTAAAATAAGAAAATAGACTATTGTGGGATGCACTACTTTTGTCCTGTAAAATATCCATGCAAATACACATTTAAAATGGTAAGAAGTGCATTCAGTCCATAGCTAAATTCACTGTATCGGGATAGTGGGTACTTTAAAGACATAAAAGAATCTTTTCAGGGCTCCAGATAAGGGCCGTATCGGTGTATGTATGGATAAAAAATATGCACAATACGGTAGCAAATAATTTAGAAAACGTAGCAGGTACGCACCACAGCAATAGTGTACGGTCTGAGAATCACTTACAGACAAATTTATCTGAAGGAAAATATTGGTTTATTGTTTATTGACCTGTATACACAAGACTATCAATGCTGTGGTGCATATATACTCATGCCAATAATGGTTGTCACCCCCTTCAATTTTTTTTATTGGAGAGGGGTGTGGGGTGTGGGTGTGGGGAGGGGGGTGGCAACCATTATTGGCATGAGTATATGAAGCGAAACAATAATGTACTCTTAAGGTTTTCCAGTACTCCTGTAGTGAAAAAATATGGAGTACGTACTCCTGATGTTGAAAAATTATCTGGAGCCCTGCTTTTGATCAGTTACAACATTTCATTTTTTTGTTTGGTTTAAGGATATGCTCACATTAAAAATACAGAAAACAATTCAGAAAAAAAATCAAATTACAAAGACAGATTTATAATCTATCAACAGTAAGATTACTTTGACAATAAACACGACAATGACTCATGGTGAGTGAGGTTTAACGTACTTTTAGCAATATTCCAGCAGTATTACAATAGAGGACATGAGAAATGGGCTACATGCACTAGATAGTATCATACCATGTGGGGAATCAAACCCGGATCTTCAACATGACAAGCGAATGTTTCAACCACTAGGCTACCCCACTACCCCATGAGTGTGTGGAGTGAATCTTTAACCTGAGTGAGTGACTGACTGAGGTTAGTTTAACGCCTCACCCAGCAATATTCCAGCTATATGGTGGCGGTCTGTAAATAATCGAGTCTGGACCAGACAAACCAGTGATCAACAGCATGAGCATCGACCTGCGCAATAGGGAACCGATGACATGCGTTTTAACCTGAGACATAGCCCTCATCAGTGACCCACCTTCCACTGAAGATATACTCACAGCAGGGGTCGATGTCGGCAGTTGTAGCGTGTGACATAGCTGGCAGTTGCGGACACAGGTGGTGTAGTAGTTGGGCAGTTGCTGACACAGAGAAACATACTGTTCCTCCATCACAAAGGTGGGCTCCAGGCATTCTGGGTAATAAGGAAAAATTATTTTTTAAATTAGAGAAAGTGTTGTTGTTTAACCATTCTTTGTTTCATTTGTTGTTTATACGATATTTATATGGCGCACATATCCAGGAAACAAGTGCTTGCTCAAGGCGCTGGTATTTTTTCTCTCTCAATCATTGGATGTCAATCTCAACGGCACATCGTGTTATCAATCTCAACTCCCTGGGGAGTATACAACTCTTGCAGCCACTAGGCACACCAAGTTATTGTGGCTTTCTCATCCTAACGAGGTACCCATTCACAGCTGGGTGGACTGGGACACATAGTCACAGTACTTTGTCCAAGTTGACTGCACATTGCTGTACCCGCAACTAGGTGTTGGCACGTATTCATGTGGCCACCATCTGGTCACATACCAACGGAATCGTGGGTTCTTTTAAGTGCGCTGGGTTGTGTACTGTGCACTAGGGGTTGAGACAACACTGAAAGAGTCTGCAAACAAATTTGACTCCAAGGTTTTTACACCCGGTCACAGGTGGGCTCGATCCCGACACCTCAACCTCGCTGGATCACTAGCCTGGCACCTTAGCCAGCTCGCCAGCCACCGCGCCCCAACATTTTTGCCAAAATTATATACGGAGACAAAGAGATAATTAAATTTGTAATTCCTAAAATCATATTTATGTGTCTGAATTAGCAGACATCTGTTGTTTCAAATACAATAATTGTGTCAATTGTTTTCTCTTAGAACCTATTGAAATAATAATCCTACCTTCAAGTTTCAGTTTCTCAGCTTCTGTTGGCTGTAATATACCTATACAGAAAGAGAAGGAGTGAGTGAGTGTTTTACGCCGCTTATAGCAATATTCCAGCAATATCACGGTGGTGGACACCAGAAATGAGCTTCACACATTGTACCCATGTTGGGAGTCGAACCCAGGTCTTCGGTGAGATGAGCGAATGCTTCAACCACTAGGCTACCCCACCGCCCCAAGAAAGAAAAAGAACATGGAAATTCTGTCATGTGACAAGTTGGTTGACAGGTCTTAGTTTCAATTTGCTACGCAGTATGTAAGGACAATGACAGGTTTAAGTTGCTGATAGAAATACTGCAGCAATATTATGATGAAGAGTTGGACACACCAACAAATGCCTTCTTCCAACTACATGTATATAGCTACCATAACTCACATGTATTTGCTCTAAAAAAGTACAGATTATAGGATGATCATCAAATTGAGGCAATTAATTCTAGACTTTTAAAGATCACATATACCCTAGGGGGGTACAAATGCATAAATCATTTATAGGCATCGTTACAAATGAAACCCTGTCATTAAAACTACTCATTTCGACATTTAATCAACTTAATTTGACCTTATATGACAACAGTGCACAATTCTCTCCCCGCGAACGAAATTTCAATCAATCATAGGGGCGTGTCTCCATGACATAATGTGAGGTATACATAAGAGGGGCGATATAGAATTCATGTACATTTCCAAGGGTAGATTATCTTGTTTACAGGTTTGTCTGAACCTGAAATTGTGACAATTGTTGTGAAAAATAAAGCTTTATGTTTTCACAATCTACTGTCATTAAATCTTGTCACCTGCTTTGCCTAGCTTCCGAATTACAACTTGTTTTCATAGAAGATTGTCAAAATCATAGTGGGACATTAGGAAAGTTGGATGCCCATCAGATGCCGTAATTTGAAGATATATCCCCGGTACTTCTTGTCTGATTGTAATAAGTATCCCAACAGCGTAGGATTTTTCAGATTTTCTAATGCTTGGATGGTATAATGACTGATCCAATATGATCCTATTTCTGTGTTTTTACCTCGACATTTAATCATGTTATGTAAAATATGATGTCTATTTCCTGCTACGATATTAAAAAAGAAGAATCTGTAATCTAAACAACCCCACATTGCCATTGTTAGAAAAATCAAAAAATTTACTTGGGTAAATAGGTTATAACAATTTGTAACTAAGTACACAGCAAATGCTTATATGCATTTCTTATGCAATAATGAAGTTCAGTTCAGCGATTACTACTCTCTTGCTGTAACCCTTGTTTGGTGGTAAACCCAAACATGTTATTTGTCATCATTAACTTGTTGGTCAGTTAATGAATTTATAACAGGTATAATTAGTGGCAACACCACTCAGATTACCCGACAAAGGTTCCCATTTGGCATTTCTCGTGTCTGGAGTACTCATCATGAGGAATTAAGGTCTGATGTGGCAAGAGGATTACATCTTATGTAATATGCACATTGAAGTGCAGCAAGAGGAATTATCAGCTGAGTTACAAAAACAAACATCGATCAAAGGATTAACCAATAACATTCTGATTGACTAATTGCTTTTATCTTGCACAGCAGATTTGTTAAAAGGTAGTGTTTATATATATATTTTTTTAATAATCTATACTGAATACAGCCTGTCGTAAGTGTCTGTGTAAATACAACGTCCTTCTTTCAAAGGATTAACCGCCAACACAATGATTGATTGCTCATTATTGGTTAACTAAATTACTTTTTTAAAGAATGGCGGAAATCATGCAATTAGTTGCCAGGTGTGTGGGTGAACAATGGGTGACCAATGGGACTATACACCAATGAGAAAAAACTGAAATGATAAATAACTTTTTCATATATTAGACTATTAACAGACACAGGATTATTTGTCAGCTGCAGACGAATGGCATATCGTTCCTTTAGTGTGGATATTGATAGATATTGTCACTTCGACCACAACCTCGCTTCAGAGGAGGAAATCGTTATGTTACAAGTTGTGTCAAGCAAAATCCTTTTGGTCATGATTCAAATACATATTTAACTACAAGTAGTACATAGTTTTGATTTGTGTAACTTCCGTGAAGTGATCTGAACACAAGTAAGCTATCGTTCCACAACGCTCGCTTCGCGCTCACAAATATACTGTAAACGTATTATAGTTCGCGCAGGTTTTATTTTCGCGCTTTTCTCGCAAAACATTTTAGCGCGAAAATTTATACACCGCGAATAAACCTGTCATTCATTCAGTCTAGCCACGCTCGCCCCTGAGTTGTTACCATAACACATCAAGTAGCATAAAGAATCATACTTAACTGTCGCTGTAATGGATTTCCCAAAACATAATTAAATAATGAGCGAAATCCCATCGCCGAATTAGCAAAAACAGCAATGTGTGTTGTGGCCGCCATGGAAATTGGTCACATGACAGATGGTTTGATACAAAACAGATAACCATGAAACGACTCGGAAAGAAATAATACAGCAGTATTTTATTTATTCATTAAGATTTTATTTACCAGTACATCATGAAGCGAATAGTCACTTAACACTCAATCATCTCATTCACAACAACCCGGCTTGTTTGAAATCACAAAGAGCTTCATATACTAGTACAGTAGAAGTTAATTCGTCAGATCGTCAGAATTCGCGGAACATAAGACTGATGTGTTTTTCATCACTTCCGTGAGTAAACGGATTACTGTGTACTAGTATATCGCACAGATAGGGATTTCCTGTGAGTAAGCAATAAACGCCACCTGACAGGTAAAGCCACTCTGTTTGTTTTCACTGCTATTAGTGGCGGCCAAAGAGACAGCTGGCAGTTCCGGCAATTACTGATTGCGCGAATAATTGACCGCAGCGATGTAGTCTAAACTTTCAATTCCGCGAAAAAATAAATAGAATGCGTTTACAGTAACCCATATAGCACAAACTGGCGGGTTCCGGTGGAAATTTGTGCATGGTGACACCATCACCCGACCCCTGGGCGCAATTGATGGCAACGCAACGATTCGGCATGTCAGTCTTCATTGACATCAGGAAAGCAGCAAAATGATGAGCTTGTCACACACTTTATATACAACTAACTGAAAATCACTTCCGGTTCGCTGCAGTACTCTGGCGACAGAGTTACTTAACCTCGCTGTGGTTTCGTTGGCAGGCAAGAGAGTAGCAGAGGAATTTTTGGCAATTTTTAATCACTCGGTATTAATTAACCACAAGTTTTTGAAGAATGAATTTGGTGTTCCGCTTAAGACTAACCACACGTCTTTCATATGTAATGTTTAAAAGCGTCCAAAAAACTAAAGTTTATTCATTCTTTAATGGATTTGGATGATCACAGCCAAATATCACAATGAAGAAAAATCTAAACCTGAGATACAGGGGACTATTTGTGCACAGCTTTCCAAGTGGCAGGTAAGGATGACACACATGGACCTATTTGGACCTGGCTTCCCAAATGGCAGGTGAGCATGAGAACCAAGTGGACCAGAAGCCCCTGTCACGGAGGACTCACCCTCACTTAGCTGGTACTGAGCTTGGAGATTGAGAAGATGCACTGCTTGACTGTCAGTCTTCAGCATCCTCCTCTCATCGGCAGGGTTGAAGCACCATTTCTGTAAACTCAGATCTGAAAGAAAACATGCATGTTAGGCAAGAGGGACAAAATACCAAAACCATATATATCATGGACACAATCTAAAAAATCAACCAAATAATAAATGTTTACATCAGAAATATTCTGGTTGAAGTAAACGATGTATATGATAATCAAGTTAGTTCCAATTATGAGAAACAAAATGCAAAGTTCAGTGTGTCTAGTGTTTGAATTATGTATTAATAGATAAATCAATATGCATGTTATGAACATTGTATATAAATTATTTAGACAGTAATTTACACAATATTATCATGATTATAATTTTTATAGACAGAATACAAGTAAAAAGCAAATACACTTTCAACTGTTGAAGTTTTCACCTTCAACTTCTCAATTCAAATTAAAATCTATCAAGAGAAGGATATTCACAATGAACCATTTATTGAGTGAGAGAGTTTAGTTTTACGCGGTACTCAGCAATATTCCAGCTATATGGCGGCAGTCTGTAAATAATTGAGTCTGGACCAGACAATCATGTGATCAGCATGAGCATCCATCTGCGCAATTGGAAACCGATGACATGTGTCAACCAAGTCAGTGAGTCTGACCACCTGATCACATTTGTCGCCTCTTACGACAAGCATGGGTTACTGAAGATCAATATTCTAACCTGGAACTTCACGGGTATGAACATTTATAAATATAGTTGATCAGCTACTACGTTTCTTTGTATGTCTTTTTACATATGGTCCTTAATTCAGATATCCGGAAATTAGTTTATCCAGATAATTTCAAGAAAAACACAAGTGTCCGGATAAATGTGGCAAGGCTGTATAGTGGATATTTGTAAAGTGCCAGTGACCACCCACTCATACATGCTCCTGGCGCATTGAAACTATTTACAGAAGGGAAAAAGTCACTTGTAGGCGGTAGTAAAAAGGAATGTCTTTAGTGCTTTCTTAAAAGAGTCCAGGGTTGGGGTGAGTTTGATTTGGAGCGGTAGAGAGTTCCATAAGAGAGGCGCAACATGCTGAAAACTCCTCTTTCCGAAAGAGGAGAGCCGAGCTTGAGGTACTTTGAGGAGCTGTTGATCCTGGGAACGCAGAGTTCTGGAAGGCACATACTGGGTTAAGAGAGATGAGAGATATGGAGGGGCAAGGTTGTTGAGACACTTAAAGACTGTACACAGAACTTTGAAGTCAACTCGGTATTGAACAGGAAGCCAGTGCAAAGATTTTCTTACAAGGGTCATATGATCATATTTCGAACTTGAAGATATACTTCAAGTGGCTGTATTCTTCACTTTCTGGAGTTTTTTCATGTGTTCTTTGGATAGGTGGGAAGACACAAGACATCTGACCAGGATATGTACACTCTCTTTAGTGATGTATTTTCGGATGGTGCCAATGGAACGAATGTGAAAGTAGCATGTCTTACACAGATGATCCACTTGTGCAGACATGGAAAGGTCAGACTGTAGCTGTACTCCAAGATCTTTAACTTGTCGTGATGGGGAGATACAGGCAGAAGCAATCTTCACATGCTCAACATCTACCTTGTCGATGTGCTGTTGTCTTCTGACCAACACTACCTCAGATGCTTGATTGGCATTAGTAGTATACACAATAGCGGGTACGGCATCAGGTCCTTCCGAAAGAAACTGAAAATTGGATAAACTTATAGAATCTCTTTGTCTACTATAGACAGAGCTCAGCTTAAGAGGATGATATGCTCAGGATAGGCTACACCGCGATGGCTTATAGTCCTCTGTGGTCAGTCGGATGACTGCTTACGCATCAAGGTGCAGTGTTACGCAGCTCTTTACTGAGGTTCAAGCCTGCCGTTCACCACTGAAACACTTTGGTACAAACAGGAGCTCTCGATGAGGGCTTAGTCGACACTAACTCCATGGGAGAACAGCCACACCAACAAAACAAACAAATTTCTCCCTCCCCGTGGGTTGTGGTCACAGGGCATTTTGCTATTTTTATTTGAACCTAAAAATACTAAAATGCAGCCGTAATATTGAGCGATGACTTTATGGATGGGGGTCTGTCATAATTTCATCGAAGTCAGCTAACGTATCGTGTGGTATGATTTGTAATTCCTCTTGGACGAATGCTATCGGAGGCCCTTCTTTCAAGTAGTACAAGTTCGGTTCGCCGTCTTTGATGTCGACCAGGTCTACGTTGTACATTTTCATGGACCATATCGGATCGGTGGCACGTTTTCTGCTGTCTCCATCGTATTCTCCCAGCTGGTACAAGTACCTAACGCTGACCCGGTCCGGTAATTGTTTCTCTGATTTATCGCGATGTGCCGCTGCTGACGACGATTCGACAGATTTCATTTTGATGGCTTCAACGGGTCTCTGTACCGAGGTGCCGGCAGGTAGACTTGTCAGATGGCTTGTTTTTTAAGCCAGGCTTTGGCTTTATCTTCCCAGACTCTAGCGACTTTGGCGACTATCGGGATGGCATCCACGCCTTTCCAGTACCCACGCGGGCTGTAATAAATTTTCTCCATGTATGTATAGCGTGCGTTTTTACTATTTAATAAGTGCATGTCCGTACGCGTAAGTGGTGACTCGGGTAGACTTCGGTCGATGGCAATCTATCATTTCGTGTCCATGGGAGACAGCGATGTCTTGTTGATTGTCAGTCCGTATATCCTGTGTCCGTCGCTTCTCAGCATGTTCATTTGGTGTTTGAACATTTTATTCTTGAACAGGGCTTCCTTGAATCTGGCATGCTTGATGTGTTTTTTCACCACGTTTTTTCACGCCTTTCGCCTTTCTGATTTCGTCGTTGTTTGCTTTCTTGATGGAATACATCTTGGGTCTCAAGCCGACGTACTCGGCGATCGGCATGCCCGCGCATTCGTCCTTCAATTTGCCGAGCACTTTTTTGTTGACTTGGCTGTGCATAGGGTAGTCGCTGATGTCGTATAGGTGGATGTTTTTCTTCATGTCCTCATACACGTCCTTGGTTCGAATTTCCATCAGCAGGGAATCCGTGTCCGTGTACAGCACTTCGCACTTGTCGCCGTACTGTTTCCTCAGCTCATTGTAGTAGAAGTCGTACATCAAGTGTTTGGATAAGTTGAGGATGCTCATCCCCACGTAAACGGGCCGGTTGAGCTTGATGTGGCTTTTGTTCATGTGCAGCGTTGCCAAGTTGTCGTCGAATATTTTGCTTCGGTTGAACGCCGGGCTGGCTATGAGTTTCCTGAGTTTTTCTTCCTCGCTGGATCTGACTAGCTTCACGTTAACGCGTTTTCTCAAATTTTCCATCGTCTTGCCGAACACCGAGTTGTTCATGAGCTTGTACAAGTTTTTCTCGAAATCGCTGGTGGCCAGCTTTCTTAAGTCCGTGTTCATTCTGATGTAGGGCTCCATCCAAGGACTTTGATCGAACTGGAGAGCCCTGTGTATTTTCGTGAGTTTCATTCCCAGCGACAAGTACAGCTGCAGGTTGCGATAGTGAACGATGTAATTTGTCTTGTTCATCAAGTTCGGCACAAGTTTTTCAACGTTAGCTGGCTTGTTGTTTCCCAGCAAGTTTAGTTAATATTCGGACATCCAGTCTGGGTTCACCGTCAATCGTTCTGAAGCTAGGGGATAGCTGTTGTGTGATTCGTGTAGTTCTGCGGGATAGTCAAAGTCCATTTCGAACAAGTAGCCTTTGTTCGAAATTCAGTGCGATGCCATTCACGTCGATATCTGTTGTAGAGACCCATTCGAATCCCCCGGTGGGGAGATACTGACTAATTGCCCAGCCGTACAGGTTGTTGGCGTCGAGATAGAGGATGTGTTTGGTCGGTTTGTTCGTGTTGTGACCGGGAACGTACTTGTTGCTGGCTTTGGCATACCGTTTGGATGTCATGGAAATCCCGCCTCGCAGACCTTTCTCCACGAACAGGTGCATGTCGTAATCCATCAGTAGTTTCAGTTCCACGCGGGTCTTTTTCAACAAGGTCTCCCAAGAGAGACCGGGGGATGAGAAATACCACGCGGGGTCCAGGGCGTACTGTTTCGAGCATGTTTTTCTGAATATTTCGAACACGTCGGCCAGCAGCAGTACGTCTGTATTCAAGTACAGATCATGTGACGTCCCAAAAACGCCAGCTACGATAACATGTCTCTCTTTTTGGTGATCTCTTTATTCGCGCTGCAATCGTCTAGGATAAACAGCGTCGATTCTCCCTCGAACTTCTCGTGAAAGTCTCGCAACCAGTCCTGTAAACGTACTCCCGGGTCGATTTTATACACCTCCGCATCGTTCATCACCCATGCTCACTAAGTGTACGTTTTATTCACGTGTATCGTAGGGCAAAGAATCACGATATGATTGAACACCTCCCGATAGTACCCTTCCAGCATATCTTCCCACATCCTGTCTGACGATGGCGCAGCGTGGCTCTAGAGGCAGATCAATAGAGGGCTTGCATGAATCTTCCATTGTCTATATTAAGCTGCGCATCCATAATAACGTACAAATATAGGTTTAATTTACCTGCAGTTTGAGCTTTTTTGGTGATTTTGATGGTGATCCCCTCGCTGCCGTTGTCGATGCGTGAAGTCTGTCATCGTCCATGGATTGCATGTCCAGCCACAGCGCGTAATGTTCATCCAGGTACATACCGAGCGTCATGTAGGGTAAACCCAGTTCTTTGACTTCCGGCAAGTGTCTCTTGATGGCCGGTAGTTTTCTTATCTCATCCCACTGCTGGTGACATCGCATGCCTTGGCTGAACAGCTGGTTGGGCGCGCCCTCGATGGTCACTTCCACTTTCATGATCTCGGGATTCCAAGTGAGTTCGCTCTTCGAAACAACTCGTATTCCGCCACGGGAATGATCAAGATGCCTTTCATTGATCGGGCCGGCACGTTCAGGTTGATGTTCCACAGCGTGTCACTCGTCCTTGACGACCGTCCGTTGCTGTAGCACGCGATCGTACAGGATGGACAGCTTTCCCGAGTACTGGCTGCTAATCTGCCGGGCCAGCTCCGTGCTCATGACCATGTCGAA